TCATCTGGCAGTCTAACCGCTGCTCTGCAGTGGCTACTGTAGAATCCAGGCAGGGCCAGTTTTTCAGAAGGGCCCCAGCATTGGATCCCACATTCTCTCTAAAGAAACAACACAGCTGTTGCGAGAGCATTCTGTTTTTTCAAGGGCTGGAAGGACGGGTGAAGCGCATTGCTCTGGGGTCCGATGGCCACGAAAGGAGGCAGCCGATTCTGTAGTCTCGAGCTGTCGAGCAGTTTAACAAATTAAGCCTTTGCAGTAGAGGCGATGAGGAATGCTTTGGCTCTGCTGGATGGAGCAGTTGTTCTGTTACGGCTATTGTTTCCTTTCCGACTAATGGCTGCAATTTAGAAATCGCACACATTAGGTCAACCCTCTTGAAATCTTTCTCTGACCTGGACGAGTTAGGCCAGGAAGCTCTGACAAGCTTGTCCGCGGAAAGGAGCCAGGATCCAATTATGGCTTCCCTAATGGCTCATTACTTATCATGAAAGGCTGCCAGTGTCTGAGATTCCAGCAACTGGGAGGGATCTGCGTTTGCGTCTCTGTGCTCCAAAAAGGTTTCTAGCCGGGGGGACGCAGAGGAAGACAAAGGTGTGTTCTGTCTTGCTTCGGCTCTAGGAGATAACCTGCAGTGTAACTCGCCTGGCAGGCATGGTTTCTCCTTCTGAGACAGAGGGCAAGGTGAGAATTGGCACTCATGGGTGGTTTGGCTCCTCGGCCAGTGGGCAGCAGCACGTGGTTACAGGTGTCCAGAAGTTGATTGGCCCCTATAAAGCTGGGACTCGGAGCTAAAGTCTCAGAATGGGACACATGAACACCTGTGTTCAAAGTTCTGGAATTAACCTTTAAGGACCTAGACGGTCTGGGACCCACCTTTCTTCGGGACAGCCTCTCCTGGTATGTCCCTCGAAGACAACTGCGTTCTGCAGATAAGAACTTACTGGTGGTCCCTAGCGAAAGAGACATCCGGCTGCCCTCAACCAGAGCCAGGGCATTTATGGCCCTGGCTCCAACCGGGTGGAACGCTCTGCCGAACAACATTCACGCCCTGCGGGACTTAATGCAGTTTGGTGTAGTGGTTAAGTGCACGGACTCTAGTCTGGGAGAGCCGGGTTTGATTCCCCACTCCTCCACTTGCACCTGGCTGGATGACCTTGGGCAAGCCACAGTTCTGATAAGAGCTGTCCTTGAAAAAGAGCCGTTTCTTTCAAGAGCTCTCTCAGCCCCACCTACCTCACAGGGTGTCTGTTGTGGGGAGGGGAAGGGAAAGGAGTTTGTGAGCTGCTCTGAGACACCTTTGGGTAGTGAAGGGCGGGGTATAAATCCAATCTCTTCTTCTGCTTCTTCTGTAAGGCAGATCTGTTCCGCCAGGCATTTGACTGAGGACAGGAATGGTTTTTCCATCTGTCTGGCACTCCTGTCTTTCTGCCCCCTCCCCCCGGTGGGACAGTGACGCAATTTGAAATGTCGCAGCACCATCTAATTAGATTAATTGCTGTGTTTTCATTGTGTGGTTCTTAAATTATGATTGTGTTTTTACTGTCGTGCACTGCCCTTAGCCCTGTATCCTTGGTACATCACAGTCAGTGTTATCTACTCAAACTGGGTTTCACGGGGTCTCAGGCGGAGGTCTTGCCCATCACCTAGTCCTTACCTGGAGATGCTGGGGATTGAACCTGGAACCTCTTGCATGCTATACAGATGGAGGATCTGTTTATTTTTATTTATTTATTTAATTAATTCGATTTCTATCCCGCCTTGCCTGACAAGCAGGCTCAAGGCGGCATTCAATAATAATTTACAATAAAACAGGTAAAATTCTAACAATAAAATATAAAGTGCAGATTAAATACCAACGATAAAGTGCACATGGCGATCGTTGTTGTTGGCCCCGTATGACTAGACCAGTATCCCAAAGAAAGTGCCAGTAATAGATGTTCAGTAGCTCATTCAGTGTTGGCTCCTAATCGAAAGCCTGGTGGAAGAGCTCAGTTTTACAGGCCCTGCGGAACTGTAGAAGGTCCCGCAGGGCCCTGATGTCCTCCGGGAGCTCGTTCCACCAGTATGGAGCCGCCTTGCCTGACAACCCCGGCCTATTAAGTGTAGAACTGGGAGATGGTCGGACTGGAAAGCAGTGTTCCCTCCAAGCGGAATTAGTGTGAGCCAGCTCACAGTTTTTTAGCCTCCGGCTCACACGTTTTTGTCTTAGCTCAGGAAGGGTGGCTCCAGAGCAAACTAATTTATGCAGGAGCCAAATCGCTCGCTCGCAACCTTAATGCCAGTAGCCCACAAAGTAGAATTTTTGTTCACAAGACTCCACAGCTTAGAGGGAGCCTTGCTGGAAAGGCCCAATGGCCAGTTAGCCCCGGTCCGCCCATCCACCAATTGTGAGCTGATCAGTTCGTGCGGGGCAGCATGCAGAAAGCAGGTGCCGTGCAAGAGGAGCTCAGAGAGCAAAATCGCTCCATGCCCAGCCACACTCAACTGGAGAGGGCGAAGAAGATCTCCCAGTGTCAGTAAACCACTGCAGAAGGAAGTGTGCCTCTGTGGTCCAGCCTCCGCTTGGCGTGCAGGAGGTCCGAGGCTCCATCCCTCTGAAAAGGAGTTGGGTCGTGGGTGTTTGGCAAGACTTCCTTAGCCAGAGGACTCCTGTCCAGCACAGTAGAGTGAGCTAGAAGGACCAACGGCTTAGCCGGCGTTCCTTATCTCGACCTTGTTTCAGGGAAGTGGTTAACAGAGTTCCCGAGATATTTACAGAGGGCAGCTCTAGTTAGTCCGCGGTAGAACAGCCAGATTCGACTTGAATCTAGAGTTCCAGAGAGACTCCCAAAAGGGTAAAAAGGCGTCAATCAAACATCTGGGGTGGTTTTGCTTTGAAGTCTGCTTCCGGATCTGCACCAGCCTTCAGTCTGGCACCATCGACCCTTGAATGAAACGACTCCCTCTCCGGAGTAACCCCTGCCCTCTTGTGACCCCCAAGAGAAGCCCACCCTGGAAGGAGCCGTCATACCATGTCCAGGAGAAGGCGCCCAGGAGATGAATAGGAGGGCAGAAGACACCAAGTCTCTTCGGACGCGGGCTACTTAGCTCTCGCCGTCCTGAATCTAATAAAGCTTTCACATTTTATCATTACATTTGGCCCAGCCGTTCTGCCCGGGAGTGAATTATGTTAGAGTAATACGGTCGAGAGAAATTAGATTACCCAGAAATAAAGCAGACTAAAAGGGCAGCTGCTGCGTTATTGGAAGGGGAGACGGTAACCTCCAGGGAAAGTGTGAGAGCAGAATAGAGCGTTGGAAGGAGCAGCGTGGGGGAGAGAGAGAAGGAGGAGGAGGAGGAGGTCACTTGTGAATTGGCAGTCGGGGACTAGCCAACTTTTTGCCTCCCCGTGCCGTCTTTCTTGACCCTCCTCAGATGTGGGATACTCCAGAACAGGGCTTTTTTGGTAGAAAAAGCCCAGCAGGAACTCATTAGCATAATAGGCCACACTCAACAGCAGAAACTCATTAGCATATTAGGCAACACCCCTGACAGCACAGCTCATTGGCATATTAGGGCACTCCCCCATGTTACCAGAAGTGGGCTCATCCAGCCACACCCACCTTTTGCTTCTTATTCTGTTTACCTTGTTTCTTGTCCAAACCCAGGGCTTTTTTGTAGCAGGAACTCCTTTGCATGTTAGGCCACACACCCCTGATGTAGCCAATCCGAATGAGTTTCTGCTGTTGGGCGTGGCCTGTTATGCTAATGAGTTCCTGCTGGGTGTGGCCAACTTGGAAGCCAGTCGGAACTCCGTTCCTGTGCGTTCCTGCCCCAAAATAGCCCTGCTTCAGAACAAATGTCAGTCCTCGTGCACAAAAATGGTAGGCTCTGTGGCAAGACTCTCTGTTCCCTCTGGTACATGTGAACACACGCACACACGGGCATTCCAGTATAGCCAGTGTAAATGTGGTGGTCCTATAGGGTGGCTTTGGAGTGGGCCGCTGATTTTAGCGGCTTGAGGCAAATCTGACCGGGAAGGGAGAAGATCCTCAGGGGCAGGATTTTTAAAGTCGGGGGCATTTAAATTTCTTAGGGGGCAGATTGCCTGCATAGATTGTGTGTCAGCTGGGAACAGGAAGCGGTAAATCTGGGGCACTCGGAGTCCCTGGGAGAGTGTGGGGTGTAACTGAGCACTGGCCACAGTGGCCGGCCTGCATCACTGCGGTGCACACAATGGTCTCGTGACTCCCGAATTCCAGGGAGTTAAGATCACAGGGGCACAGCCGTTCTTGTCTTGGGATTTGATGATATCTGCCATAGAGCATATAATTGTCGAATGTGCATATAATTGTCGAATGCCCCCCTGTATGAGCTACCTCGCAGAAAATTCCTTCTAACGGCTTCATCCTAAAAGTTATTTGAGTAACAAGTTAAAATGTCAAAACTTCTCTTGAATGATTCGATCCCTGAGATCACTAATGATGTTGCCAAGTTTCTTACTGAAGTTCTTAAGGTACAAAATCTTAGATAGTACTATTTTGATTGTTCTACATTTGTATGGAATCTTAGATTTTAATTTTACGATACAATGTTTTATATACCTTATGACTAATGATATGCCAATAAAGCTCTATGAATTAATTAATTAATTAATTAATTTTACGATAGAGTGTTTTATATACCTTATGACTAATGATATGCCGATAAAGGTGAATGAATGAATGAATGAATGAATGAATGAATGAATGACTCCCGAATTCCAGTGGCAGGATGTGGCTTGGCCTTCTTTCCAGCCCCAGGTTCACTAGTGAGCAGCTCAGAAAACAAAACCAGCTTTTTTTTGGGGGGGGGAGGATATGGGCTGACCATGCTGTTAAAACCCCTCCGTGTTAATCTTTATCCAGAAGCTCTAGTGTGAAAGGTTAGCACTATGGCGACTCTCCCGCAGTGGCCCAGCTCGTTTTTGCAGGATACGAATGCGGCAGTCTCACTCTTTCCCTTCTCTTTATCTTTTGCAGTCTCTCTCCAGGTGAACATTATTCCAAACAAGGTGGAAGTTGCCGTGGGAGAGTCCAAATTCTTTGTCTGTGAAGGTAAGCGCAGCTTGGCGGAGGGGTCGGTCTTGCCCCCACCTGGATGAAACAGCCTTGCCTCCTCACTGGGCAGAGCACGGAAATGGAGAGCTTTGCTGTAAGGTCCCAGAGGGGACTCCCCGTTCTAGGCGATGCTTCCCAGTCCCAGACATGGACTTCCTTGTCTTTTTAGTATTATGTCGTTTATAAGTGAGGACCAGCTGTCCAGGGATCATGTCAGGATGCTTGGAAGCGCTGGTGGAACTAAAACTCTAAAACTGAGCCAGATGATTCATCAGAAGCCTTTGTTCCAGACCCAGAAGCCCAGATCAAAGGAGTTCTGATGATGTATAGTGGAAGCAGCTCTTAGATGGGCTTAGCTACTGGGGGGTGTCTTCCCCAAGGGATCCTGGGATTGGAAGCCTGGGTCCTTGCCTTGGGGAACCTTGACTGGGTGGAAAGGTGGCATGGAAATGTTTTAAATAAAATAAAGACATAATGGCGTTTGGTGTAATGGTTAAGAGTGGCAGACTGTAATCTGGAGAACTGGGTTTGATTCCCCACTCCTCCATATGCAGCCCGCTGGGTGACCTTGGGTCAGTCACAGTTCTCTCTGAGCTCACTCAGCCCCACCCGCCTCACAGGGTGTCTGTTGTGGGGAGAGGAAGGGAAGGAGATTGTAAGCCACTCTGAGACTCCAAGGGAAGGGCGGGGTATAAATCAAAGAAAGGGGGAGAGAGAGAGAGGGAGAGAAATCTGGAAATATAAGAAATGATGGAGAGAGATCTATTCATCTCTCCAAGATCCTTTACAGTGCCCCGTTGGGCTTGGATTTTTCCTTGTTGTCTGCTTCTTGTTGTGGCCTGTTTTTTGAGATGAAAAACTGGAAGCAAACGGGGTCCTGCCCACCTAGGATGTGGTGCCCTCTGTTCCGTGCAGTCAACAAGCTTTCTTGGCAACCAGGCTGGCACAGTAGAGCGAAGTCTATTTATTGACTCCGTTTAAACCCGACCTTTCTCCCCACTGTGGACCCCAAGTGGTGTGCGTTGTTATCCTCACCTCTGTCGTATCCTCATAGAGAGTATGACTGGCCCAAGGGCACCCAGCGCACTTCCTTGGCAGAGTGATGATTCAAACCAGGGTGTCTCAGATCCACACCTGACACTCTGACCACTGCAGCACCCTCAGTTCTTGCCATCTACTCTCTGCTCTTGATGTTAAGGATGCAGTCCTGTGCTTGCTAACCTGGGAATATGCCCCACTGAAAACAGTGAGGCTCAACTTCCATGTAAATGGGCGTCAGATTGAGCTGTGTGGGACAGAATCTGCCGGATCGCTGTGTTTGGCATGCCTTTGGGTCGTTGTGTTGGACATAAGAACATGAGAGAAGCCAATGTTGGATCAGGCCAATGGCCCGTCCAGTCCAACACTCTGTGTCACACAGTGGCCAATAAGACCAGATGCCATCAGGAGGTCCAGGGCCAGGACACTAGAACCCCCCCCACTTTTGCCCCCCCCCCCCAAGCACCAAGAACATAAGAACATGAGAGAAGCCAGTGTTGGATCAGGCCTATGGCTCGTCCAGTCAAACACTCTGTGTCACACAGTGGCCAGAAATACCAGGGGCCATCAGGAGGTCCAGCAGTGGGGCCAGGACACTAGAAACACTCCCACTGTTGCCCCCCCCCCAAGCACCAAGAACATAAGGACATGAGAGAAGCCAACATTGGATCAGGCCAATGGCCCGCCCAGTCCAACACTCTGTGTCACACAGTGGCCAGAAATACCAGGGGCCCTCAGGAGGTCCAGCAGTGGGGCCCGGTACTGGTACTGGGGGTTCCCTAGCTGAGATTTCAGCTTCACCAGAACCCCTTGGGGTGCTTCTTATATACAGATGGGCCTGTAAGGTTCATTTAATGTGGATCATGGCATCCTGTACCAAGCCTTCTTTTTAAAAACGCAACAGCAGCTGATGGGGTTGTACTGTGATGCCACACAAAAATGCCCTCCGTGTCCTAGGCAATGTGTTTTGAGCCCTAGACGCAATTTGGCGGGGAATTCTAGACTTTTTTCCAGAATGGTTTCTTTCTTTTCTGAGCATGTCCCCCCTCCCCCAATTCCACCCAGTCCCTGAGTTGCAAAAGGCCACTCTGTAGAGGAAAACCCTCCAAGTCCCTGCACAGATTGTTATCTGAGCTAGTCCGTAGAAAAGCTAGAACAGGGGTCCCCCCCCCCGTCTTGTGAAGAGGTAGATTGGCATTTCCCATCAACCAAATGATCCATGTGGCTACTGTATGCCTTGGGGGACACACTCATACCATAAGGGGAGGGGGCAGGAAGGCTCCCTCTCTCCTGGCTTTCCACAAACTATGCAAAACTGGAATATTTCAAGAGGGCTTTTCTATACAGGTAACAGGGCTGCATGTGCAAAAATGATTCACGAAGCTACTTGGATAACTGATTAGGGATCATGGTCTATACGACTGGGTGTGGCTTGCTGTCAGTAAGATCCTACTATGTAGTTTTGCATCATTTAATGTATCATGTTAATACTTACATTTGGCTTCAGTTCTGTTTTTTTAGATTTCTGGTTGTTTTTACAACTCCAATCTTGTTGCATGGTTTATTGGAGTCTCCCATCCTGCTGATTGTATTGACTCTCTCTGTATAATCTACCTTGAGTCCCAGTGGGAAAGACAGACTATCTCTCTATATAATAATTCTCTGTTGGTGGTGGCACACTGCTGAGCATTCCACATGGCGCCCACAGCCTTTGGCTCCGTGATCTGTCAGTCAGAAGCTGTCCCTATCCACTGGCTGCGTTGCGTGAGTCTTGCCTCCAACAGTCTAAACAGTTTGCTGTCCCCCCCCCAATAGCCAGTCAGAACACAGAGGTTATTTGCATATGTGGCCTGATTGGCCTTTGCCTCAGAGCACAGAAGTCGTTCTAAACAGTTTGCTGTTGCTGTTCTGAGGTAAAATGTGTTCTGAGGCACCATTAGTGCCTGTTGGGAGAAACCATTGTTGCCAATCTCCAGGTGAGGGCTGAAGATCACTCAGAATTACAACTACTTTCCAGATGACAGAGATCAGTTCCCCTGGAGAAAAGGGTGGACTCTGTGTCGTTATATCCTGCTGAGATGGCCCCCGTATGACAGCCAATGTGACGTAGCAGTCAGGGCTTCAGAGCATGGTAGAGACTGCAGGTGAGGGGGGGTGGAAAGCTGAAGAGTGAGAGGGAAATAAAGGTAGGGTGATGATTGGCTGGGAAGGAGAAAGGGTTGCCAACTCCAGATGGGAAATTCCTGGAGATTTGAGGGATGGAGCCTGGAGAGGGTGAGGTTTCAGGAGGGGTGGGACCTCAGACAGGTACAGTGCCATAGACTTCACCCTCCAAACCAGCCATTCCGTCATGGGGAACCATTGTTGCCAATCTTCAGGTGAGGGCTGGAGATCACTCAAAATTACAACTGTTCTTTAGGTAGCAGAGATCAGTTCCTCTGGAGAAAATGGTGGACTTGGTGTCATACCCTGCTGAGGTCGCCACAGCAAATTGACACTGAGTGCCCAAGGCCGGGGCACTCTCCCAGTGCCTCTTTCTAGATCTCGTTGTATTTATTTCCACAACGGGCCTTATTCCTAGTAAATATATAAAATAGATGTAACTATTCATATTAGCAGTTCAAAGGCAAGAAATTGCAAGTAGATAAATAGATACCACTTCGGTGGGAAGGTAACAGCATTCCGTGCGCCTCGGTGTTTAGTCATGCCAGCCACATGACCACGGAAATGTCTTCAGACAGCGCCGGCTCTTCGGCTTGGAAATGGAGATGAACACCACTCCCTAGAGTCGGATTCAACTAGCTTTCGAGCAAGGGAAACCTTTACCTTTATTCATATTAAATATATAACTATAACCTTTTAAATTACCGGACTCTCTCTCCTCAGTACCACACAATGCAGCTCCAGAGAGACAGCAAGACTGCCTGGGTGCCTAGAGGAGAGCAAACTGGTTGTTGAGAAGAGGGAGTAAAAGCACCAGCCCCCCCCCCCCCACTGTGGCTAGACTGCTTTCCTCCTGGGGGGTGGCCAGGGTGGTGTCTTTACTTCTCCTCTTAGCGGCTTCGTGGGGTCTTCAGAGGATTCCCGGATGGAAGTCTTTGTGCTCCCAAGAAGTGCTGGGTTGGGTCCTTGACTTCCATCCCTGGCATGAGGCTCACAGCTCAGGGAGGCTCACAGCTTACCCACATACCAGCGGCAGCTGTTTCGAAGCGGGAGCCACCTGCCAACTGCAAGCCCCATTGGGCAACGGCTTTGCCCACTTCCCTGGAACATAGGGCAAGTGACACATTGTGAAACAGTGCTCAGGAGAGCCATGGGTAACCGCAAAGAGCCACACATAGCTCCGAAGCCACACAGAGCATCACTGTGCCAGAGTTTTACCTCAGGGTCTTTTCTGTTTCCAGTAATTGGGGATGCCAAACGCAAAGACATTTCCTGGTTCGCCCCCAACGGCGAGAAGCTCGTCACAAACCAGCAGCGGCTCACAGTGGCGCAGAATGGGGACTCTGAGTCCACCCTCACCATCTACAACGTCGACATTGACGATGCTGGCATCTACAAGTGCGTGGCCTCCAGTGAGGAGGGAGAGGCTGAGGCCACACTCAACGTGAAGATCTTCCGTAAGACACTGTCCCTGTTTTCTTCTGAGAACATGTAACTCGCAGGACTTAGACGGTAGCCAGTCACTTTGGGGGAGATGTGGGAGGAACCATGAGACGAGGGGGCTACTGGGAGGTGCATGTGTGGATTCTTCTACACCTTTGAAATCGGTGACTTGGTCAGGAAACCTGTCCTTGACTCTTAAGTGTACGCATGGAAGCTGCCTTATACTGAATCAGACCGCCAGTCTGCATTGTCTGCTCAAACTGGCAGCAGCTCTCCAGGGTCTCATGCAGAGGTCTTTCCCATCACCTACTGCCTGCTCCTTACTGCAGATGCCAGGGATTAAACCTGGGACGTTCTGCGTGCCAAGAAGATGCTCTGTCACTGAGCCACAGCCCCTCCCCAAACAGTTGCTGCTTGAGCATTGCTGGCGAGCCTCCCCTTACTGGCAGTCTTCAAGCAGCTGGACAAACACTTGTCAGGGAATCTTTCGGCTTTTCCTGTGTTGAGCAGGGGGTTGGACTAGATGGCCTCTGTGTCCCCTTCCAACTCTATAATTCTTCGATTCTTGATCCTGAGTCCACCCACCCTACAGTGTGTATCTCTGAGTTTGATAGCCTGAGGGCTTCCTGGGGCCCTGTCAGTTCCACTCAGTCTCCACCAGGGGTGTGCACACAAAAAACCTGTATATACCGAATATACGGCATCCATTCGGGGAATCCCTGTTTGGCTGGCCGAATCAGATTAGGGAATCTGATTCGATTTTAGGCATTATTCATTTTGGGGTGTTTTTTTGGGGGGGGTTGTCCGAACTGAATGCACATCCCTAGTCTCCACCTGGAACACACTGTAAACTGGATTGCACAGGATGATGTGATGTAGTGGGGTGGGGGTGGGCCTGGATGCCCGGATTGTGGTGCCTTCCCCATCAGCCTGGTATATGCATAATGCCTGCTCGGTGGTGTGAGGTCTGCCAGGGTCATGCTGGAGGGTCACATAGCCAAACAGAAACTGCATGGAGGAGGGGTGTTTGTGGTCTGTGCCCGTATCCTTGCCAGCAGAGCTCACGTCATGCTGGACAGATCCACCCCCTTCCCGTCTCAGGACTGACTCGATAAAGCCTAATCCCTTTCCTTTTCAGAGAAACTGACTTTCAGGAATGCCCCCCTCCCTCAGGAGTTCAAAGAAGGAGAGGATGCGGTCATTGTGTGCGACGTGGTCTCCTCCCTGCCTCCCAGCGTCATGTGGAAGCACCTGGGCCGAGACGTCGTCCTGAAAAAAGATGGTACGTACCTTACGTAGCCCTGTCTCGGGAGGGCTTTCAGTCCGATGTGGCGTGGAGAGGAGCCGAGCATGAGAAAGAAGAATGGGTGCAGTTAGGCCAGATTGGGGTTCAGTATTGAAGTCATCACCAGATATGCTCATATATGCAGGACTTTGTGTGTATATGCAGTCATGGGAAGTTGCATGGCTCATGGTGCGCACTTCATAATACACTTACACAGGGGTCGTTTCGTAGAAAAAGAGCTAGGGGAACTCATTAGCATAACTCATTAGCATATGCCACACACCCTGACATCATAAGGCCCAGCGGTGGACCTGCAAGGCTGGCGGGAGTGCGAGGAAGCCCCGCCAAGGCCCTCCCTGGCCCCAGGCAGGCAGGGGTGGGGAGAGGCGGGGAGGAAGCAACTTACCCTCCCTCTTCTCCTGCCTCCTCCTGACTGAATGAGGGCCAGAAGCGGGGCAGCCGGAAGCAGGGGGTGTGGCTTCGTCATGTGCCCCGCCCCCCACACCTCACCCGGGAGAATTGCGATCCCCCCCGAAATGACCTCTGCACTTACACATCATCTGTTAATACTCCATGCTATAGAGAGAGGGCCCCCTCTTCCTTTACTTTGTTGAGTGTTTCGCTGGTTGGACTAGGCCTGAATTCTTTCGTGATTATGGGAACAATTCTGGGGTAAAAGAAGTGTGCTAGTCAGTTAAGCTCAGTCTCTGAAATTGTGAGATAAGAGTTGACACTGCAAAGGGATCTCTGTGTGAACTCCCTCCTTTTTCTTTCAGTCCGGTTCGTTGTCCTATCCAACAATTACCTACAGATCAGAGGGATAAAGAAGACGGATGAGGGCATGTACCTCTGCGAAGGGAGGATTCTGGCCCGTGGGGAGGTGGACTTCAGGGAGATCCGGGTCATTGTCAATGGTGAGTCGCGAGGGAGGGTCTCTTTTCAAGCTGGGGTGGAGACCCCGCCCCTCCGAGTTGCCCAGTTTGTTACACAATCCGGGATTAGAAGTTACAATCTAAGATGCTTCTCTCTGTGCAGACAGACAAATTCTAAGAGGTTTCTTGTTTGTGTCACACCTTTTGAAGTCTGCTCTGTCAGACACAGTTTGGGTAATGTAAACTGGACCCCTCTACTGGAATGAAAGGGCTTTTCCCTGCAGGATCTAGAGAAGGCAGGCGTGTGACATAAAGAAGACGGTGGTACACTTTATTGTGGCTACTCAGAAGGGTGGCCTCAGAAGACCTCCTTTTATTGAGATCTGCTGTAGATTGGTGGTGTGCAGCCTATCATCCTGGGAGGCACGTGACGCCAGGGTCAGGTGACAGGAAGAGGGGGAGCAGGAACTGTGACCTTGCTGAAGTCTGGGACAGGACTGTGGGTAGCAGACCAAGAGTGCATTCAGACGGGGCATTTGAGCCGGTACACGAGCCGGTTAGAATCGGAGTACTTACGCGCGATCACACAGCCAACATCTGCCTTCCGTCCCTAACCGTTGCAAACACCCTTTAAACCAGTGTATTCTGCTACTAGGTCCCCAGGTGGTGGTATCCTGAGTGCTCCGGTTCCAACCGCATTATCCCCGTCTGATCGCTCTCCGCCGGTGTAGAGCCACTTCCGTTCGGAAGCCCGAGGCTTCCGCTTTTCGGCCGCCATTTTTTTTGCCTCCTCGATGTGCGCTTGGGCGAAGCTCCGCCCCAGAATTTGTAAAACAAACAAACAAAAAGATGCTTCGTTTTAGGCTGCGGACGAGTCTGGGACCTCACGGAGGCCCTTTTTGCTGTAAAAGTTTAAAGGGAAGTCTTCGCTTCAGGGCACGCTTTTCGGGACGAGGTGTTCTGTGCCTGCGCGAAGATCTCAACTCTGTGGATGGCTGCCTATGCACATGTGCAAAATGTAAAAAAATATTTTAAAAATCCGCCGACGTGGGCTGCTGCGCGTCGGTAGTGTGAACAGGCATATCGTGATGTGCTGCGCAGTCAGGAGGTGAGTGTGATCGCGTTTCTTCTGGATCAAACTGGTCCGGTTCCAGCTGGAGCAGTTTATGCTGGCTTAGATGGCCCGTCTGAACGCACCCCAAGAGCTCCAAAGACAGGAAGCACAACTGGGCACCAGAAGGGGTGAGGTACTGGTGAAGTATACAATTCACTGCCAAAGGAAGTGGTGGCGGCTACAAGCATGGACGGCTTCAAAAGGGAATTAGATAAGCATATGGAGCAGAGATCCATCAGTGGCTATTAGCCACAAGGTATAGGTAGGGGCTCTGGGGCAAGGGATGCTCAGTCATCTTGGTGCTTGGGGGGGTCAACAGTGGGAGGGCGTCTAATGTCCTGGCCCCACTGGTGGACCTCCTGATGGCACCTGGGATTTTTGGCCACTGTGTGACACAGGGTGTTGGACTGGATGGGCCATTGGCCTGATCCAGCATTGGCATCTCTTATGTTCTTATGTTAAGTAGCCAAGGGCCAGAGCCACAGAGGAAACATCCCAACCACTGAGTGGTCCGTCCCCCCCCAATCATACTTCTGCTCCTTTCTGCACATGCAAAGAGGGGCAGGAGGCATGGTGCCCTCCTTCTGTAAATATGCACACAGGCAGCAGTGGCAGCTCTGGAGGAGTCCCCATCCCAGCGGGAAGAGCTTTGTGATGTCTGAGCTGAAGACCATTGAAATAGCCATGGTCTTAGCCAACCGGAGGCCCTGTAGGCTTGCCAGTCCCCAGTTAGGAGCGGGAATCCCCTGCTTTTGTAGGCTTTTGCCTGCTTCCAGCCGGCTGGCCGGTGGGAGGGAAACCCCCCCCCCCAAACATTACGTTGAGCAGCGTGTCTATGTCACCCGGAAGTGACATAGGCACGCTGGTGACCTTGGGAGGGGGTCGACATTCTGGTTTTGGGGCAAAACTCTATGGTTTGAGACCGATTTTATCATAGAGTTTTGCCGAAAAACCAGAGCGCTGCCCCCGAGGTGGCTACATCACCCGGAAGTGATGCGGGCATGGTGTGTGACATCACTTCTGGCAACGCTTCCGACTCCTGAAGCATTCCCCCATCCCCCCACTGGCCTCTCCAAGGGACCTAGCAAGGTCCCGTCTCTCCACTGAGTTTGAATTAGAGTTTGGTTGACTCAGGTAAAGCTCACCCAGCAGGGCTGAAAGCGCAAAGAAGCCCAACTCACATGCTAGGTATTGTTGATTCTCGTTTGTCGGTCTCCTACTCCTGAATCACGCCTGTTGTTGTGGCCAAATCAGAAGGTGGAGTGGGAGGTTTGCTGCCCTAGGATCGTGGGACCCAGGTGCTCAGAAAGAGTCATTAGGAACCCTTCTGGGTTGTGAGTTGGCACGACCATGACCCTCGGGACCTGGGGAGTTTCATGTCCCTCAGTAAAAGAAGCAGGAAGACTTGCGAAGCTGATTTGGTGCTTACAGGATGTTGACAGGCAATCGTCGTGTATGAAAGAGGACTTGGTACCTCTGATTTCTCGCCCCAGAACAACAGCAGTCCCAGTTTGGGGTCAAGCCAAAAGAAGGGGTGAGGAGAAGTCCCTGGCCGCTTTCACCAGAGAACTTAAAATAATATTTTTATTTATTTATTTTATTATTTATTTATATTTGGATTTATATCCCGCCCTACCCCAAAGGCTCAGGGCGGCTGACAAGGGCACCATGTGCCAAGGTTACAACAATAAACACATAATTTAAAAACAATAAATTACAATAAAATACAGTAACAAATTTGCAATACAGATTTAACCAAGATGGGTAGATCTTAACCTCCATAGCAGCTCCCTGAGATCTTATCATCCAGTCCGTGCCCAGGCACCTCGCTCCCCCCGTAGGGATCAAACAATCATGATGGTAATACGACAGTGCACAGGAGGCAGAGGTGAAATAGTGGTGGCGGCGGCTCCTACTTAAAGGCCTGGCAGAAGAGCCGTCTTTCAGGCCCTGCGGAACTGAGAAAGATCCCACAGGGCCTGGATCTCTTCCGGGAGCTCCTTCCACCAGGTAGGAGCCACCACCGAAAATGGACACATGGCTTCTGTGTGATGATGCCGTGAGGCTCCATGACGTGCATATTTAAACAGTGACATTTTCCTTCTCTTCAATGCTGTCCTTCTAAACGCTCGGACAGGTAGTGGATGCCACGTTTATGTGGCAAAAATAATGAGCAGCGCACACACCTTTCAGATCACTTCTGTTCATGGCACAAGGAAGGCTGGAGAAATATGGTTTCCGAGGATCTCAGTGTCTTCGTTGCCAGACACCTTGGAAAACTACATTTCCCAGGCCACCTGGTGCCTTAGACACTGCTCTTGTAGCATTTCAGAGCCTGGAGAAGCCTCAGAGACCTTGGAGGTCTGGGCAACAAAGAGAAAGAAGCAAGGGGGGAGAGAAGCTGTGCGAGAGAGATGGGTCTAGGGTCTGTGCTCCATTAGTCTTGACCAGAGGTCCCCAGAGTAGCACTCCGTAAGCACCATGACACCCACCAGCACCTTTTTATGCTCCCACCAGGTGGTGTTTTTTCCCCCTGCCTGGCCATGGGAGATCTGATTGTCTATGCAGATTTTGTAAAAATGTTTGGGGAGCAGCTGCCACCGCAGCAGGAGGCTCTTCACTGCGTGGCTGAAGGTCTCGACCTCTTCCCTTCCTGCCCATCTGAAGTGTGTCTCTATTTTCTCTCTCTCTCTCTCTCTCCTTCTCTTCCAGTGCCTCCTACTGTTCACACCAGGCAGAGCACCGTGAACGCCACGGCCAACCTTGGCCAGTCGGTCACCTTGGTGTGTGAAGCTGATGGCTTCCCAGAGCCAATCATCAGCTGGACCAAGTAAGATGCTCAGCACTCAAGTTTGTGTCCGTTGCCTGAGTGCGGGGGGGTTTTGGCCGAGCCGCAGCAGATCACAGACTTTGTGCCGTCGTATTTCCCCTCCGGCTTCCTTTTGCTGGCGGGAGGCCCTGAGTCAGAGGCTGTGGTCTCCTTCAAGTATTTAAATTGAAGTAGCTCACCTGTAGTCCTGTGTCCAGTTTTGGGCACCACATTTTAGGAAGGATGTTGGACAAGCTCGAGCATGTCCAGAAGAGGGCAACCAGGATGGTGAGAGGGTTGGAATCCAAGTCTTATGAGGAAAGGCTGAAAGAGTTGGGTCTGTTTAGCCTGGGAAAGAGAAGGCTTAGAGGGGACATGATTGCAGTCTTCAAGTATCTGAAGGGCTGTCATGTAGAAGATGGAGCAGATCTATTCTCTCTTGCTCCGGATGGCAAGACTAGATCTAGTGGGTGGAAATTACAAGGGAGTCGTTACCGGCTAAATATCAGGAGAAACTTCCTAATTGTAAGAGTGGTTGGGCAGTGGAACAGTCTGCCTCAGGAAGTGGTGGATGCTCCTTCGCTGGACGTTTTCAAGCGGAGGCTGGACGACCATCTTTCAGGTATGTTGTAGGGCTCTGCTCCTGCAGAGTGCAGGGGGTTGGACTAGATGACCTGCAAGGTCCCTTCCAATTCTAACATTCTATGATTCTATTATAAGAAAAAAGTCAGTCTGCATAAGGGGTCTGCAGTAGAGATGACATTCACTTCTGTTGCTTGTGTGTGTTTTGTCCCCTGCAGAGACGGGGAGTCCATAGAACGAGGGGAGGACGATGAGAAATACGGGTTTAGTTATGATGGCTCGGAGCTGACAATCCGCAGGGTGGAGAAAAACGATGAGGCGGAGTACATCTGCATCGCCGAAAACAAAGCCGGAGAACACGATGCCACCATCCATCTCAAAGTCTTTGGTAAGCCCTCCTCCCCCCTTTCGTCCCAGGTCAGATAGCAGAGAGCTTATGGGTACCAGTAGGTCCAAGTGACTCACTGAAGCAAAACGGTGTACACAAATTAGCACGGGATCGTATTGGTGGGATGAGCTCCCATACGAACTCAGGGCCCTGCGGAACCATTTATTTATTTATTTATTTATTTATTTTATACTTTCAATTTGTACCCCGCTCACCCCCGAAGGGCTCTGAGCGGCTTACACGGTGCATGGTGCAGAGACCTATGCAGAAACCCTAACTATGGCCACAGTACGTCTGGGGTGGGGGGAGCCCTACCAGGTATCCTCCCGGCTCCGATCGTTCGTTGATCCGGCGAGTGGGCGACTTCTTCCAGTTCTCTCTGGTGCGGCTTCCGCAGCCTCCGCTGTTCTTTCGGCTCTCTGGCTACTCCTCTCGGGGTCTCAGTTCTGCAGGGCCTCCAAGACGGAGCTCTTCCGCCAGGCTTTTAATTAGGGTGACGGACGCCCCCCCCCCCTTTACCAGTTCCTCCCCTCAACGGGTCAGAACTGCATGCCAGAGTTGGCATCTGTGAGGTTTTAATGTCAATGGCAACGGCAACGGATGAAGGCCATTGTGGTATTTTACTAGTGTTTTAATTGTATTAATTGTGTATATTGTATTTTTATCAAATTTGATGTAACCCACCCCGAGCCTGCCATGCGGGGAGGGCGGGATATAAGTCGAATAAAATAAATAAACAAATAAATACTTATTTTTGTAATAGAGCTACAATATTTGATTAAAATACCATAGGTGGAGGCCCATATTCAAACCTCCACTCTGCCTTGGAAGCTTGCTAGGTGACCTTGGGCCAGTCACACGCACACACACACACTCTCTCTCCCCCCCCTCAGCCTAACCTACCTCACAGGGTTGTTGTGAGGATAAAATGGAGGAGAGGAGAATGATGTAAGCTTGTTTGGGTCCCCACTGGGGGAGAAAAGTGGGGCATAAATATCCAAATTGATGTTTTACTAATGAATGTTAATAATTGTGTAAACTTGCATCATTACAAGATCAAAGAGGGTTGTGGGTTTTTAAAATTTATGTTATTTCTAGTCTGCCTCTCTCAAAGTGACTCCAGGCGGATTACACACAGTGGGCCAGCACTGTCACAAAAATGGGGCATCCAGTAACCAGTGCATAAGGATTTTAGAAGTCTGGAACCACCAGAAAGAACAGAAGTGTAGCGGGAGAATTCACATGATACATTAAGTCTGGGGTGTCGAACTCATTTGTTACAAGGGCCGGATCTGGCATAAAAATGAGACCTTGTTGGGCCGGGCCGTGTGTGTCCTAAAATGTAATGCCAGGTAGCGGAGATATAAACTTTATAAAGGACACAAACACAAATGGGTTTTTTACTCAAAATAAAAACATGCTTAAAACATTAGCACTCTTGCAATATTTTGTTTCTGTAACCTGTTGCTCTGAATTATTGCAAAAAAAAATGGTCTGTGCTGTTGCAATCTTGAGTATGCTGTTCAGGTGTGTATCTGTAAGCTGCAAACCTACTTTTGATTTATTGACATTCACCACAGAAATCTCATGCTCAGAGTTTTGAGTCTAGGACCCAGGTTAAAACATTAAATGGCTGAGCGATTAAGAGAGTCTGGTGAAGCAAGCGATGATGCAGCAGCAGCAACAGAACTGGAAGCAGGAGACGGCCAGTTCCGGGGTGGGGCTTGAAAAACGCCCTGGGGGGGGGGGGTCTGATCCGGCCCCTGGGCCGCATGTTTGACACCCCTGCATTAAGCAATACAGAAATTACATCAATCAGATCCTACATACAGTAAGCTAAACACAGCAGTGTAGATTGCAGTCCTTAGGCATTTATTCAAGCCAGTTTGTAAAGTCATTTTGTAAAATCGAATTTTAAAAAGGACTTTGAAGTACCGTTCAGATGCAGTAGATAAGTTTTCTTAGTAATGTTAAGGAAAATGAAGATACTGTTTAATGTTTAGACTTGGATCATATGGGAGAGAGCCAGAACTACTGAGAGTTGTTTCACTTCTTGTCTGGGAGTGGAGATTTGCTTCCTGAAGATCCATTTTTGATGGTTTTCTCTCCTGCATTCTTCTGACGAAGATCAGTTTTGAAACAGGAACAATATACTGGATGCCTGTCTTGTGATGGACTCGTTGAATATGTATTTAGCACATGTGAATATACTTTAGTTCTAATAACCATCACTTCCACTGGTATCTCTGCTCCAAAGAGTTTTCTTTAATGGGTGACATATCCTGTCTGGTATAATTATACAGCGTGGTTCTTTTCAGTTCAAGTTTGTATCATTTGCACAAGATGCTATTTTTTCTGTTGCAAAAACTGGGTTTGTTTCATGCAGAGCTTCATTTTGTTTTATCTGTTTAAGTAGTGTACCTTGTAACAGTGATGATTGTCAGGCTGCGCGGGCATACCGTTTCTTGGAGGTTCTCGTGGGCAGACTCCACAGAAGGGGACGTGAATGGAACCCGCCGGAGATCCTGCCTGTGGCCTCCGCCCCGCCCCCCCCCCCCCCCCCATGTTTTCAGCAACAGCCACAAAGACCTTTTGCTTCCTTGTTTCCAGCGAAACCCAAGATCACCTATGTGGAGAACAAAACTGCTATGGAGCTGGAAGATCAGATCACCTTGACCTGCGAGGCCTCCGGGGACCCCATCCCTTCCATCACTTGGAGGACCTCCACCCGGAACATCAGCGATGAAGAGAAGGTATTGCTTCCCCCAAGCTCCACGCCTCAATCTCAGGATGTGGAAGGGTCTGGAGTGATTCTCCCCTGCCACCGGCAGCATAGCCTTGCACACTGAAACCACGGTTTTTTTCTTGCGAGGGCCAAGCGCAGAAGATGATATAAGTGCCCATTTATATAAGGCTTTGTGAGGGCCCCAAAGGCCTCATAGACATTGCCCCAGTAATCCTTAATGCAGCCCTCTAGGGTAGGCCAGCATCATTATCTCTAGTCGTAGACCAGGTTCCAGAAGTGGCTGAGATGAAATGTGGGCTGGAAACTCCCCAGATCAGACCGCTAACTGCAGTACTGCTCTCGCGGCAAGCCACTGAAAACCCTTGTGAGGTATTCAGCTGGCCCACTGAAGTGGGTGGACATTCAGGTGCAACCTGCTCTCTAAGGGAAGGGCCTCGTGAGAACATCTAGAGACTTTCCGTGGCAGGCTGGGGATCCACGTGGTCACCTGTTCTTGACAGTTGTGGCACAGACCAGTTTCTGTTTGGGGGGGAGTGGGGTCGTTATCGGTAGCCTCCCTAAGGTGAACATGACACGTGCGTATTGAACACACAGTGAGGAACTACTAGCCAAGTTTATTTCAGCGGGATTTAAACGTCCCTGAAGTTTCTATGGATTGCTTAGAATTCCGGGGTGAGCAGGTGCCCCACAGGAACAGAGAGGCAGACTAATTATACCGGTCCTGCAGACTGATAGCTCTGCCGGACGTTTCTGGTGCGCGAATGACGCGGAAGGGAAGAAACACCAGCCCTCTCCCAAGCGGCCCACGTTTCCCTGCCTGGTTGTCCCGAGGCAATCCTTGCGCTCCTTGGGTGACAGCTGTTTATTAGCCAGAATTATACATCTCATCTCCTCCTGTGACAGCCTTCATAGGGCTCATGAGGTGCAGTGAGTTAGAGTGTCGGACCAGAACTTGGGGCGACGGGTTCAAATCCCCGCTCAACCGCGGAAGCCTGCCAGGTGGCCCCGGGCCCCGTCACAGTCTCTCAGCCTAACCTGCTCTCACAAGGTGATTGCTCTGGGACTAAGCGGAGAAGGGGGGGGGGATGATGTGAAAAGCCGCTTTGAAACCCTGATCAGGGAGGCAAACTGGATATAATTTTTTTTTAAGGCAGTAGTTAGCTGCAGTGGCTCAGGTGGTTGAGACGCTGAACTGCAGGCTGTGGAAGGTCGGTAGTTCAGCATTTCGAGACCCGAGTGTGCCGCATGACGGAGTGAGCTCCCGTCTCCAGTTCCCACTCCTGCCAACCTAGCAGTTCGAAAGCAAGAAATTGCGAGTAGATCAATAGGTACCACTCTGGTGGGAAGGGAACAGCGTTCCGTGCGCCTCGGTGTTTAGTCATGCCGGCCACGTGACCACGGAAACGTCTTCGGACAGCGCTGGCTCTTCGGCTTTGAAACGGAGATGAGCACCGCAACCCTAGAGTCGGACTCAACTGGCTTTCGAGCAAGGGAACCTAAAAGCTTGCTGAATCTGCAGAGAACTCAGTTCAGCCATTTTAGGGAAGGCGTCCCCGTCTGTCATCTCTGATATGCCGGGGCAGGTGGGGTCCCCTTTGGTTCCAGTGTGCATCGATCTCACAGTTGACGCTGAAAAACCGGCTGCCGGGGCGAGGGGAGCGGGTGGAGGGGTGCATCAGAGATTCTGCAGACCCAAGTGAGCCTGTCCTGTGTTTCTGTACTCTTTGCTCTCCTGCACTGTACACTCGCGCTGCACGTAATGTCAGGCACAAAAGCTCAGCCGCCTTTGTGTTCGCTTGTTAACTGTCGTTGATCACGTACCGGACCCATCTTTGTTCTTTGCGGCAAAAATAATTAGCAGTTTTGCAATAATGACAATGTCTCTGGATCCACCTGGGCCAGGAATTCTGTGGAGCTGCAGTCTGTCCCTGGCCGTAAAAGTCCCAAGCGAAAGATAAGGGAGAGCGTGGCCCCGACACTGACGCAGGTGCGAGATCAAGCGAGGCTGAGTAAGGAATCCTGTTCTGAGAAAGAAGTCCCGGGCCTCCCGCTGAGCTCCAGCTGGGTATGAAAGAGGCTGGGGATTCCGATCAGGAAAGGCCAGCTGATGGCAGGGTCCTTTCGAGCACTGGAGCCAAGCAGCATCTTCTTGCCCTAGTTTTGGTCCACCCGGAGGTGTGTGGTTAGCCACTCTGGGAAACAGGATACTCTGTTAAGTGGTCCTTTGGTCTACTCCAGCAAGGCTGTCTTTAAGTTCTTAGACTGATCTCCTTAGTCTTTGAGCTCATAAACATGACCTTGGCATTACCCATTTAAGCATCATCAGCATGTAATCCATGGTCCATGAGCTGGGTCGGAGTCCAGGAGCACCTTAAAGGGCAACAAGAATTCCAGGGTATAAACTTTCACCAGAGTCTCTTGAAAGCTCATACCCTGGACGTCTTGTTGGTTTCTAAGGAGCACCTGGCCTCACATCTACCTGTTCTCCTGCAGTCTCGACACTCACATGTACACATTCTCCCATTCAGGACATACATAAGGAAGTATTTCTTCACACAGCGTATAATTAATTTGTGGAACTCGCTGCGACAGGACATGGTCATGGCTGCCAACTTGGAAGGCTTTAAAAGGGGACAAATCCATGTAGGGCTGGGCTTGCACTGGCTACTAGTTGTGATGGCTATCGACTCCCTCCAGGACCAGAGGCTCTATGCCTCTTTAAATCAGTTGCTGGGGAGCTGGTTGGCCCCTGAGTGAACAGAAGGCTGGACTTGAGGGGCCTTTGGATCGACCCAGCATGGCTCTTCTTATGTACTTACAATGGATGGCTAGTAGGCACCGTCACTGCTGTGGAACCAAGGGAAAACACTGATTTTTAAGAACATAAGAGAGGCCAATGTTGGATCAGGCCAAAGGCCCATCCAGTCCAACACTCTGTGTCACACAGTGGCCAAAAATACCAGGTGCCATCAGGAGGTTCACCAGTGAGGCCAGGACACTAGAAGCCCTCCCACTGTTGCCCCCCCAAGCACCAGGATGACAGAGCATCACTTGCCCCAGAGCCCCTATCTATACCTTGTGGCTAATAGCCACTGACGGACCTCTGGCTCACATAGGGGGACAAATTCCAGTGGCTCACGTAGGGGGACAAATGTGTTCTAATCCAGGAGGACCACAAAGATCAGATTTGAAGAGAGTCACAGAGTGAAGAGACACAGAGAGTCATCTGACTATGGGGTGCCATAGACTCACAGAGTTGGAAGGGGCCACAGAGGGCATCTAGTCCAACCCCCTGCTCAATGCAGGATCAGCCGAAAGCATTCCCGACAACGTGTTTGTCCAGCCGCTGCTTGAAGACTGCCAGTGAGGGGGAGCTCACCACCACTCTAGGCAGCCCATTCCACTGTTGCACAACTCTCACTGTCAAAATACCCAGCCGGTACCTTCCCACCCTTAATTTAAACCCATGATTGCGAGACCTTTCCTCTGCTGCCAACAGGTAAAACCACCCACTTGGTAGTAATCCCACCATACAAGACCTAGCGTTTTTTTCCCTTCAATGGTGCTGCTCCTCTTGGGAGAGAGCTTTCCTCGCAGGCAGACTGTCATGTGACAACCGCAGTTGCCGTGTCGTGAATCTTGTCACTTTGTTTTGTTGTAGCACAATCACGGCAAATCGATTGTGCTGCATCGTTTTCAAGTTGTGAGCGTCGCATCTGAATGCACTGCCCACACAGGGACAGGTGGCACGCCCCCTAAATACCGTTATCAATTTGTCATGCCCAGATGGCAACAGCAGAGCATAAATGCACTTCTCAGCATGCCAAGGACCTGTTGCGACCTCAGCAGAAATGTGTGAGAATGACAAGGTAAAATCGATAGCCGGTCGCATTTTCTGCAGCCAAACATGGAGTGAGAATGCGTCATAAATGGGTCACGTTTCAGGCAAGAGCTGGGAGGACGGCCCCTGAGAGATTTTCCCTGGAGGTCCCATTTCTGCTTTTCAAGACCCCTGCCAGATGCTCGGCTGTAAAACTGCTAACTATTTTTGAAACTGTCATCTCTAGCGTTGGGCGTTCAGTACGAAGGAGCTATGTGAGGGCTGTCGCTGCTTTAGGTAGTTTCATATGGGGACGGGAGAGAATGGCAAACTGCTGCCGCTGTGCCTGATGTGCTAGCTTGGGGGTCTGTTTCACAGCTTCTCTTGTCCGTCATATATCGCTGTTCAGCCCAGGACAGTTTTTGGTATTTATGCTGTATTTCCGTTGTTTGTTGCGCTCTGGGGCAAACAGTTAAAATGCAATGAAACGGGAATCGACAAGCCTTTCCAAACCATCAGTGGAGCCCCGACTGGTGGGAACCCCCAGAAATGACTTTTTAACAAGTCTTAGAGAGAGGGGACAAGGGATATTTGAGCTCAGTTGCCAATACCGTAATGTCCATTTTGCAACGATGGTGTGTTTTTCTGACTACCATGTCGCAGGGATTAATATGGGCGGGAGGGGGCATCGCTCACAATCTTCCACAGCCAATGGTCATCGGGGCCAGATGGGTCTCCTGGTCTGACTTCACATTGCTGTTCTTCAAGTATTTGCAAGACTTTTCCTTATGGTGGCATCTCTGCCACATCTAGGCTAACATCAGACCTGCAGAGTTGGCCTCTTGGGTTGTCCTGCAGTTGTTATCCTCAGGCACAGGCGGACTTGGAGATACCGAGCCGTTGGCCAGGGATTCAATAAAGAGATTCAGTTATCCCAGACGAAGCTCCATCCTTGCCAGGCTCCGTGTCAGCAATTCATTTTACAGCGGGGCTCTGTGAGGAGAGGGAGGTGGGTCAGAACCAATGTTCCCTCTAAGCTGAGTTAGTGTGAGCCAGGTCACGGTTTTTTAGCCTCCGGCTCAACCGTTTTTCAGAACCAATGTTCCCTCTAAGCTGAGTTAGTACTAATTTTTGCAGCAGCCAAATCACTCGCTCACAACTTTAATGCCAGGAGCTCAGAAAGTAGAATTTTTGCTCACAAGACTCCACAGCTTAGAGGGAGCGTTGGTCAGAACCCCCTTCCCAGCCCCCCAAGTCCTACAAAGTGGACAGTCAGCCACTGGCGTTACCCCCCCACCACAATCACACCCAAATCCTTTCTCGCCTCTGGTTTGGCAGCTTGAGGTTTCCAGAGGTAATGGAGGGGATGGGAATGCACCAAGATTCTCTTGTTCATCACTTCGTGTCTTGCTGCCATTTTTGCCAGGGAGTTGGTGGGGATTGTGCGATGGAAGCATCAGCTGCCATGACACTCCAATCCTCGACCTCCGCTGTAGGATTGTGCTCAGGGGTCGTTTCGTAGAAAAAGAGCTAGGGGGACTCATTAGCATAATTCATTAGCATATGCCACACCCCCTGCCATCACCGGAAGTGTGTCATGAGGCCACACCCCCTGCCATCACCGGAAATGTGTCATAAGGCCCGGCGGTGGACCTGCAAGGCCGGCGGGAGTGCGAGGAAGCCCCGCCAAGGCCCTCCCTGGCCCCAGGCAGGCAGGGGTGGGGAGAGGCGGGGAGGAAGCAACTTACCCTCCCTCTTCTCCTGCTTCCCCCTGGCTAAATGAGGGCCGGAAGCGGGGCGGCCGGAAGCAGGGGGTGGGGCTTCGTCGTGTGCCCCGCCTCCCCGCACCTCACCCGGGGGAACGGCGATCCCCCGCGTTCCCCCCGAATCGACCTCTGATTGTGCTGCATACTTGGCCTTCCTTTCAGTCAAGGATCGTATTAAAAGGATCCCAAAAGCTCAGGGAGGGATTTGCAGCAACGATTAGCAGGCCCCGGGCCCCAGCTGATCCTCCCAGCACTCCCAACACCTTTCGTATTTCTTTTTTCAAGTCTGACTGTCTGTTGCCCCCCTCCTTGTCAGATTCTCTAGCTGTTGTTTGTTCTGCCTCCATCAAAATAACTGATTTGTGGATATTTTTGGATATAACATCCCAAAGCTTTCTTTGTCTTTCCTCCCCCATTTTGGCAGAAAGGCCTGGATTTATGAGTGTGACCCACTTACATAATTACCTTAACATGCAGCTGTTGACAGTACTTTGAATTTGTTAGGGGTGATGGTTGTCTCCAAATTCCAGCTTGTTCTAGGTTCAGCGCCCCTCCAGTCCTGGAGATCCAATACAGGGTTTTCCCCACAAATGTTTGTGCAAACCGAGCCAGGCCCTCCCAGTGTTATTTCTTGCCCCACCCCAACGCACACCCCAACACACACCCCAACACACACACACTGTTCGTGGACACTGTAGGCAGCAGGACTCAGGGTTTTTTTCCTGAGTGACACAGGAGCACATTTTTGCCATCTTGCAATTTTGAGACCTTGACAAATGCAGTCCTGTTGCTTCCTTAAAGTTCCTCGGCATTAGAGAAGGCCTGGGGCGGGGGGCACAGTTGCTCAACGGTGAGGTGGTGGAAATGTTTTTTCCCCCGCACGCCCTGGAAAACTTTTGTTTCTGATAACATTGGGGGAAATGTACTTTTTGCGGGAGGGACTTTCTCGGTCACACCTCCGGCTTCCAGTTACCAGATTTCAGCAGAAGCTTTTCCGCACAGAGGGGACAGTGCCTGGGAGGTATCAGGAGCAGCGCACTGAGATATCCTGGCTGACTGATGTTTGTTCGAACCATGGTTTGTCACGTTGTCTGAACGCAGCTTCCTTGTTGAGGTCTTCTTGTGCGGTGTGCAGGGAGCGGCAGCAAGAGTCCCTGCTTCCTCCGGTGGGCAGGGGACCTTGCTGGGAATGTCTGTGTCTGTCCTTTGGTCTTTGTGTCGGCTGCTGCTACCCGAACATCAGCAGAGTTTGCTGCGCTCTGAGTCTCGTGCCTTTCTGGCTGTGGGGTTTAATCACCAGGGGTTTAATTAACCAGGTCGGCCCTGGTTGGGACTTGGATGGGAAAGCTCCAAGGAAGCCCAGGGTTGCTACGCAGAGGCAGGCCATGGGCAAAACCACCTCTCTTTGTCTCTTGCCAAGGGGTCACCATAAGTCGGCAGTGACTTCTCGGCACTTTGCACCACCACCAGCAACCATAGTGGATCGAGCTGGTCACAGGGACAAAATGTCATTGGGGTTCAGGGAGTGGGGGAAATCCGCCCACAGTAAAAAGGTTGTGTGGCTGTTTTCTGGGCTTCAGACGGTACCCTTTTCGTCTGTTGTTAAAGAGCATGAGCCTTAAACAAAGAAGACACGAAAGAGTTACACTTGAATGCGTGCATGAGAAGCATTTTTAAAGGGTGTGGCTTTAGTCGCTGGCCTCTCTTTGTGGACAGAATGGCTTACTTAGCACCAGGCAGGTGTTCCTTGGCGTTGCAGAGCTGTTGCGGGGGCCGCCCAAAGCTGCTTCCTGGGGTTTGTTTTGCGGAGGCGTCGTCGAGTGCGCAAGTTTGCCTGCCTTGCGGCTGAATAGAAGCACCGGGTCTCTTACGGTCGTTGGCCTTTGATCTGTCCGATTTGATACATTCCGGATGCCTGTGTGGAATGACGAGTGAGAAGGGACGTGTCCAGTCGCCGTTCCCTTTCTCTTCGTGCCCCCCCATCCACCTCCCCCCCCCCCCGTTTTTAAATTTGGTTTTGCATGTGCATGGAATGAAGTGTGATGCATACAGCGTATGAACTGAAGGGCGGGGGGAAAAGAACAACCTGTGTAAACTTTTTATTGCTCTTTTTTGTGTGTGTTGTGTTTTTATCTATCTGTTCTCTCCAGGCTTCGTGGACTCGTCCCGAGAAACAAGAGGTATAACACTGCCAGACTAATAGCCAATCTTCTATAGCTCCGTGTATATATATGTGTGTGTGTGTGTGTATTTGAAGTGTTGCAAATTAACAACTCTCTTCTAGCAATAACCAAGTCTATTAAATCCAGCATTAATGGCGCGACTGCATTAAACTCAGTGATATGCATCCACAATAATAGACCCCAGCTCTTTGCTGATAGACCTAGAACTGGCTTTGCATCATAGCCTGTCTTCCAATGAGCAAGCACAGTGTCTTGGGAACATGGCAGACGTCACCGAGCGTCCTGCTGAGGGCCCTGGCGGAGTTCAACAGTGTTGTGATTTTTCCAAGGAAAAGAAAATAAACTACTGTTTCCTTTGAATCGAAGGGGTAAACATTGTTTCGAAGAAGAATTTTGACACCTTCCGGAGGATGTAGCAGTTGGTTGGATTTTTTTTTGTTTTTACAGATTCCCGCGTTTGAGGTTTGCAAACCTCTCATAGGCACCAGTGCTCGGAACACAATACTTTTAAAAAGCGATGCTGCCGTTCCCCTGCGGGCAGCTTGACCTTGGCAGAGCTGGTGTTCACAGCCCGGTTCAAATTCACTTGTTTGCTCATTTCTCTCCTACTAGGTGCATTCTGATTCTGCTTTTTCCCCCCTCCGAAACGTTGCATCACATTCCATCTCAAGAAGCAATGCAATTACCTCTCTCAAAGTCTGTGTGTTCCCCAGGAAAAAAAAGTCCCCGTAGACTAAACCTAGGGAGGAGCAATTGGCTGACCCAGGGGTGGAACTGGACCTCTCCTCCAGATTTTGCCAACCATCAGCTGAGCCATAGTGTCATGGAAAGGGCTCAGTTGTGTCTGTTGGGCCACCCCTCTTAGGCACCTGCCTAAGGGCTGTTTTGGACCTTCGCTAATTTGTTTCCAGCCTTAAAGACTTTTGGGGAAGATGAGAAGGGGAGAGTTAAAATACCGACTAACAAATTTGCTTTTGAAGTTCAATCAACAGCTTCCACAAAACCAGGATTTCCCCCAGGTACCTGGATCTGAATTGCATACATTGGCTGTGGTTGGCTGTGTCGTTTTCAGTGGGAACTTGTCTCAATTCCGATCGTGTTTGTGCACGTGTGCGACGCGTATGGAGGGTTTCGGGATCGGAGAGGGGAAGCCGGTCTCCTCTGTCAGGAGAGATGGTTCGTGTCGCTCAACGGCAGCTCTTGGTGATAACATCTTGCCTTCTTGGTGGCAAAGCTGTTTGATATTCTACCGGCTGACACATTAAAAATTTGTCATAGCTGAGGGAGCAGAAATTCCAGGAGCAGATGCATTTCTAGAAGGATTTTGTAACCGGTAGACCAAGGAACATGATTAAGATGGGAGAGGCGGGTTGCTGATAGCGGATCACAGATAGCTGTTTATCGATTAGTATTCTGCATATCAGAGTAAGAAACTGAGAAGCGCTGGGGATCGAAATAAAGTTCTGTGAGAATTTGAAGCAGTGACTAAGCAAAGAGCATCTTTCATCGCTTCCTTGTACTATTAGTTGCTGACGAGTTCCAAACCTTTCCCATTAAGACCCCAAGCACAACGTTCTTGTGAAGATCTCGGTTGATTCCCGTTTCTCTTCTCTCCCCCTCTTCAACCGCAGCAGAGAAGATGATCCTGTTTTGGAGGGAGATCCCCGTAGGGTGGGTTCTCCTCATTTCTAGGAGACAAAGGCAGAGGGGGTGGGCCAGACCCAACTGGTAGGGGGTACCTCTTGTTCCGGTTTGGGTCGTCTTGTGCAAGATGACGAACAGGAAGGCCATGTAGAAGAATTAGGCTGTTTGCACTGGGAAGTGTGTCAGAGCTTGTTTCATCAGAAGGTAGACAGTGGCCCACTGATGGAAATCTTGCACAGATCTCTAGGTGTCGATGTGACCTCGCAAGGAACTTTTTTAAGCCAGAGGGCTGAGGTCAGGACTGCTGGACTCAGGTGAAGTGTGTCTTACCTCCTAAGAAGCACCGCACTTCAGCTTCAGATGTGAGGCCAAACAGGATGCGAGGGGGAGAGTCCCATGTATTCATCCATGTTATCTACGTCTTAAAATATAAAGTATGGGTGAAGATCTGTCTGGGGAGCTAAATCCTGCACCCTGTTTCTCCTTACTTCACTGCACCCAGCCGTTGGGAGCATTTTTCTTCCAACCTGACTCACATCCAATATCAGGGCCGATCTAGGAGAAGAAGGCCCCAGAATGGCATGCAGTGCTGAAAGGAGGTGGCAGGTTTGAGCTCCCAGCACCTTCCATTTTCTGTAAAAATTAAGACACAGACACACACCCCGTCCCCTCTTTCTATATAAACATGCATGTAGCTCTTCCCCTCCGCCCACTCTGACACACACTTAGCTTGGCCCTAAAGCACAGTGGCGGAACTCTAGGATTCTAGATTTAAGAGAAAAAGGGACCTCACTAGAATGACGTCAGCTCCTGCCCTGCACTGAGAATTATCTATAGTGTAATATTTCTTATGCTTTAAATCTGTTGGGCATCAGAAGTGGTTTGCTTGACCTCCCGTACTCTGAGACGGCCCTCTCTCTCTCTCCAAGCTCCCCCCACCCCCATTTACAAATGCAACAGTGCCCCTGAGCACATGCGGAGTGCCACGCACACTCCCTCCAGCCATGCAAACATTTACAAATACTCCAATTCCTTCCCAGAAAAAGTGTCTACCGTCCGTCCGGGATCTTGGGAGCAGTTGGTTTGAGGAAGCGTTCCCAATGCAGCCACCCCATGGGCGGCATCAGCGCCAGCCCGTTCTCCAGCGCGTCAGCCAGGCACGCCAACTCCAGCAGCACCACCACGACCAGCACCGGGGCAGAGAAGGGAAGGCTTTGCAGGCCTCCCACCCACGCCTCAGCACGGCCCTGCAAAAAGGGGGGGTCGGAGAAGGCATTGCAGGGGCCTGCGCCTCAGCGCAGCCCTGCAAAGACTGGGGGGGAGGGGAGAGAAGGGACGGGACAGTCACACGGGAGATGGGCAGGTGGTGGACCGAGAGCGGGGCGCCGGCGCACGCAGGCAGCAGCACTCACCTGACCTCGCAGTGGGTTCCACTTCCAACTTCCAAGAGGGCAGCAGCTCACGATCGACACGTGCAGTCGGTCGGAGGCGTGAAGCAGCAGCGTGCGCATGGGCAGCAGGCCTTCAAGAGCAGAGGCAGAGCGGATGTAACCCTGCCTTGAGTGCTGGGAAATGAACAATGAAACCACAACCTCTCTGGCTGCTTCCACACTTAATTTCTCTGTCGCTGTCTTCTGTGTATAGAACTCACTCACATCCTAGAAATGTCTGGGGAGTTCCCTGCACCTTCAGAGGGGAGGGGGGAAGGCCTGCCCTGATCTGGTCCATGGGGTCGCAAGTCGGACTCGACTGTGCGACTGAACAACAACAACAAAAAACTACATGGAAAGCATAAGCACATCACATGTGAGACCAGCGGCCCCTGAAGTCCCACACAGCGCTGCCGGCTCCCGGGGTGGGGCTGAAGAGCTGGATGGATGGAGGAGGCCGCCCAGGCCTGGCTTTCCTCTGCATCGGCTGGCCAGTGGGGTCAGGTTTCATTAAAGGGTGGGGAGGGAGAGAGAACCAGACGAGATTTATCCGTTCTTTCTCTTGCATAAAGGGAGCAAACGAGGCGGGTGGGCGGCAGATCAGGAGGGGACCTGTGCGGAATAATCCCCTAATGGGGTGAGATGGGGAGAGGGGGAAGCGGGCGATGGCAGCATCGAGCTGACCGTCTATCCTGCAGTGTCGAGAAAGGAAACAAAGAGCCATATGCGAGAGAAAGTCGCGCTGGCTACTGCAATGAGAAGGAAGGCGGCGGGGGTGTTAGAAAGCGCCGGCCGCCCTCAGACTAGAAGCCGGGCCCCTCCCTTCCGCGGCCGCGGGCCTCCCGGAACCAGGACACGCTTCTTCCCTCCGACGGGGCCCGGGAGGCGGCCCCTGCCGGCCGCCCCCCCCCCCCTTCCGGGAGGCCATGGGGGGGGGGGAGCAGAGGATCTGGGGAGGGGCCTGTAAAACCCGCGGGGGGCCCTGCCCCCAGGGCCCCACGCGGGCTACGGGCCTGCCTCCCTTCCTCATTCCAAGAATTGACTTGAGTTCAGCTTTCCTTTAAAAGTTTCTGGAGTAATGCTCAGCTGTTAGGTCTCTCCGAAATAGCCACAGTCTGCTTTTTGTGGATGGTTGGGGTGGCCTCCTAAAATCCTTTATAGTGACCTGCTAGATAGATCTGTCTGTCTGTCTGTCTGTCTATCTATCATCTATCTATCATCTGTGTCTATCTATTATGTCTGTCTGTCTGTCGTCTATCATCCATCTATCATCTGTGTCTGTCTATCTATTATATCTGTCTATCATCTGTGTCTATCTTTTCTGTCTGTCTGTCTATCTATCTATCGTCTATCATCTGTCTATCTATTATGTCTGTCTGTCTGTCTATCTATTATGTCTGTCTGTCTATCTATCACCTGTTTCTATCTATTATGCAGGGGTCGTTTCGTAGAAAAAGAGCTAGGGGAACTCATTAGCATATGCCACACACCCTGACATCACCGGAAGTGTGTCATAAGGCCCCCCGCTCCCAACGGTTTCGGCCGCCGCCGCCGGCCGCCTTGTGGGTCCACTGCCGAGCCCCATCAGGGGCCTGGCGGTGGACCAGCAAGGCCAGCAGGAGTGCGAGGAAGCCCCGCGAAGGCTCTCCCTGGCCCCAGGCAGGCAGGGGTGGGGAGAGGCAGGGAGGAAGCAACTTACCCTCCCTCTTCTCCTGCCTCCTCCTGGCTGAATGAGGGCCGGAAGCGGGGCGGCCGGAAACAGGGGGCGGGGCTTCATCGTGTGCCCCGCCCCCGCATCTCACCCGGGGGAATGGCGATCCCCCGCGATTCCCCCCGAATCGACCTCTGCTATTATGTCTGTCTGTCTATCTATCTATCCTGTCTGTCTGTCTGTCATCCATCTATCTATTATGTCTGCCTATCTATCCATCCATCCATCCAAGTTCCCAATATTCTCCCACTTACTCAGAGAATGTAAAGAACTGTTTCTTCCTCCCCCCACCTTTGAGGACTTGTTTTTTTGGGTTGGGGTGGGGGCTATATTTCTAAAGTTTGGCTTCAGTCCAGCAGTGAGTTCCAGGGAGGCAGGAAGGAGGCATCTCAAAGATGAAGAAGAAGAAAGGGGGGCAGTGGGGGGAACGGGGAGAGGGGAAAAGACTGAAGCAGGGGATGGGGTAAGATATGGACAAGAGCATGCGGGGAGCACTGTAACCAACTGAGATGTGCTAGATTCGAGTCCAGCAGCACCTTGCAGATCAACAAGATTTTTTTTTGGGGGGGGGGGTCTGAAGGTTTTTGAGAGTCAGATGGTATCTGATGAAGAGAGATTTGGCTCTTGAAAACGTGTGCCCTGGAAATCTTGGTGGTCTTCCTCCTGGACTTGGATCAATCTCGTCCGCTGCAGACCATCAGGGCCACCCTCTGAAGCTTATGGAGGTGTGCGTGCCTCCCGCCTCCTGCTCACGCCTTAGGAGGACGAGGCCAGCAGAACTTCTCCCTCTCCCGTGTGTGCTAAAATGAGCACGCAGAGCTGCTCGTGCGCGGATTTCCAGCCCGCCCGTAGAGAACCGCCACAGGTGAGGCAGCCTTGAGATGTCCTCCTATCAGATGCTGGTACAGATACCCACGATGGTTCTTTGACTGGACACCTAGAAGCAGCATGGGCTGGTTTTCAAGGGACCAGACCTGCAAGGCCCCTGTGCGGGCACACTTCCAGCCAGTGGAGGACCCCCCACCCCCACAAGTCCTCTTCCTATTGCATCCATCTCTGGGGCAACAGATAGTGACACGGGGTGGAGTGTGGGATGTGCCTGGCTGGGGCACTCCTTTGGAGGCTGCAAGGGGGTGTTTGGGGTTTGTGCACGATGGATCGGGACCGAGTCGGCAGCTTCCGGGCGCCCTTCCGCCCTGCGTGGGGCGCATTCATGGTCTTGCTGACAATATTTGGGGAAGGGTCGTCTGCACCAAAGTGACAGGCAGGCTGGATTCCGTAGCCGAGTGGTTTCCTAGTCTTCTGCATTTCTAGACTGGTTGTTTCTTCAATGATGGACTTGAGATGTTTTGGTTCTGGATTATTGTTCCTCTTGAAAGATTTTATTTTATCTGACACTTCTGTACATTTGGAATAGAGACCAACGGGAGCAGCAATATAGTAACACTCATGAACAAGAAATTGCTGCAAACGTGCACACAGTAAATAAATTACACAGAAGTAAATTGATCTTGAATAATGATGATTTTCATGAAGAATTCTTTATATTTTCAACAGGTGAACAGGTAGAAAAGACGAACTTCTCGAGTGAAAGCTCGTTTCGAGTAGTCTTTCTCAAATGAGTACCAATGTTACATCCATGTGTATCAAATCCGACATAGCTATATAGCTGGGTGAAGGAGATCGTTTGATTCAAAGACTTGTATTGTCGGATTTGATACACATGGATGTAACATTGGTACTCATTTGAGAAAGACTACTCGAAACGAGCTTTCACTCGAGAAGTTCGTCTTGTCTACCTGTTCACCTGTTGAAAATATAAAGAATTCTTCATGAAAATCATCATTATTCAAGATCAATTTACTTCTGTGTAATTTATTTACTGTGTGCACGTTTGCAGCAATTTCTTGTTCATGAGACTTCTGTACATTTAACAGAGACGGGGCCTGAAATTGCCCCACGCACCCCGACAGCAGAGATTGACACCCCAGAGCCCTTTTCCCTTCTGCTCACGCCCACCAGGGCCATTGCCTCCAAGTGGTCTGAGACTAGTTTCACCAGCAGCGTTAGCCATCAGGACCTCAGTGGGCCTTCTGTATACCGATGCACCAGAAGGCTGGAGATAAAAACGGGTCATTGGCTTCCTAGGAGCTCCCTGGCATCCATCGCTGGCAGCGTTTGCAAGCAAAGTCCCGGACTAGATGGAGCCGTGGCCTTGTCCAGCAAAGGACTCCTTCCAAACCACGTTGGCCCAAGTGGAGGGGAATAGGGGCTGTCCCTTTATTTGTTTATTTAGTTCAGGGGTGCTGAACTCATTTGTTATGAGGGCCTGATCTGACATAAATGAGACCTTGTTGGGCCGGGTCATGTGTGTCATAAAATGTAATGCCAGGTAGCGGAGATATAAACTTTATAAAGGACACAAACACAAAGGGTTGGGGTTTTTTTAACTCAAAATAAAAACATGCTTAAAACATCAGCACTCTTGCAATATTTTGTTTGTTTAACAGTGTCCGATAACTGACACCTCTTGCTGTGAATGACTGCATTAAAATGTCTGTGCTGTTACAATCTTGAGCATGCTGTTCAGGTGTGTATCTGTAAGCTGCAAACCTACGATGACGCAGCAGCAGCAGAACTGGAAGAAGCAGCAGAAGACAGCCGGTTCCAGTGCGGGCCTGAAAGAAGCCCTCTGGGGGCCTAATCCGGCCCCCGAGTCGCATGTTTGACACCCCTGATTTAATTTATATCCTACCCTCCCTGCTGGAGCAGGCTCAGGGTGGCTCACATAAAATTTATCAAACAGATAAAAGAGATAAAACAAAGAATCAATATAATAAAATATAACATAACATAACTTTCAGGAGGAGCAGACCTTTCTGACCCCGCAGCAGCAGCTGTGCCAGGCAATCTAGATCGAAGATCCCATGTTGATCTTTACATACTTGTGGCTGCACAGCATGGCGTCTGGTCCAGTTGACCAGTGAGAGAGCCTCTCAGCTCCCCCTGCCCACCCTCCTGGCGCTCTGTAGGATGCGTGCTTGTGCCTCGCCCAACAAAGAGAGCACCACGGCTTCCCCGGGATCCATCCAGCTTGCCTTCTGGGCTCTGGGAGAGGCGGGAGCTGACTCCTGAAAGGCCCTCTGGGCCTGGCTTCCTGCCCTCCCCTGCCCCCCCTCTACCCACCTTTGTTTTGACCCATCCGCAGCCCGCCTACTGACTCTCATTCCTTTTCCCTGCCAGACCCAGGATGGGCGCATCGTGGTACGCAGCCATGCACGGGTGTCTTCTTTGACACTAAAGGACATTCAGTACACGGATGCCGGGGAGTACGTCTGCATAGCAAGCAACACCATCGGGCAGGATTCCCAAGCCATGTACCTGGAAGTTCAGTGTAAGTGGAGAGACACTAGACCTTCAACCCCTCCGTTGCCGACTACGGGGACATTCAAGCCTTCTCCCACTTCTGTCCATTTCCCAAACTCCACAGTTTTTGTGAACGGGTTCCCGGGGGGGGGGGCTTGATAAGAGACCGAAGGCATACTTTGAAGATGTATGTAAGGATTTTCAGTGCAATGATATATTTTTGTAGTCAAATGAAAGAAGTCCAACGGAGCAAGATTTTCGGGGAGGGGAGGGGGGCTGTGGCTTTGTGGAAGAGCCTCTGCTTGGCATACAGGAAGTCCCGGGTTCAATATCTGACATTTCTAGTGAAAGGATCTGGCAGTAGGCACTGGGAAAGACCTCCTCCTAAGACCCTGGATGACCGAAGGCATACTTTGAAGATGTATGTCAGGATTTTCAGTGCAGTGATATATTTTTAGTCAAATGAAAGAAGTCCAACAGAGCAAGATTGTCGGGGAGGGGAGGGGGCTGTGACTTTGTTCAATATCTGACATTTCCAGTGAAAGGATCTGGCAGTAGGCACGGGGAAAGACCTCCTCCTAAGACCCTGGAGAGCCACACTGAGCGCCTGGGTAGACAATACAACGCTGACCTTGATGGATCAAGGGTGCGGTTCGGTACAAGGCGGCTTCATGTCTGTTAAAGGAGAGGGACCGTGGCTCAGTGGAAGAGCCTCTGCTTGGCATGCAGAAGGTCCCACGTTCAACCCCCCGCATCTCCAGTTGAAAGGACCAGGCAGGAGGTGATGGGGAAGACCTCCACCTGAGACCCTGGAGAGCTGTAAAGAGGGGCCATGGCTCAGTGCCAGAGCCTCTGCTTGGCATGCAGAAGGACTCAGGTTCAATCCCCGGCATCTCCAGTTGAAAGGACCAGGCAGGAGGTGATGGGAAAGACCTCCGCCTGAGACCCTGGAGAGCTGTAAAGAGGGGCCATGGCTCAGTGCCAGGGCCTCTGCTTGGCATGCAGAAGGACTCAGGTTCAATCCCCGGCATCTCCAGTTGAAAGGACCAGGCAGGAGGTGATGGGAAAGACCTCCACCTGAGACCCTGGAGAGCTGTAAAGAGGGGCTATAGCTCAGTGGCAGAGCCTCTGCTTGGCATGCAGAAGGACTCAGGTTCAATCCCTGGCATCTCCAGTTAAAAGGACCAGGCAGGAGGTGATGGGAGAGACCTCAGCCTGAGACCCTGGAGAGCTGTAAAGAGGGGCTATGGCTCAGTGGAAGAGCCTCTGCTTGGCATGCAGAAGGACCCAGGTTCAATCCCCAGCATCTCCAATTAAAAGGCTCAGGTGGTAGGTGACGTGAAAGACCTCTGTCCGAGGCTCACAGCATCCTCGGAGAAGTCCTCTCTTTTCTCTTGCTTGTTCCAAACCTGGCTCCCTTCCTATTCCAGATGCTCCGAAGTTGCAAGGCCCTGTTGCGGTTTACACCTGGGAAGGCAACCAGGTGAACATCACCTGCGAGGTGTTTGCGTACCCCAGTGCCGTCATCTCGTGGTTCCGGGATGGGCAGCTGCTCCCCAGTTCCAACTACAGCAACATCAGGATCTATAATACGCCGACTGCCAGTTACCTGGAGGTGAGGCCTTGTGGCTGAGTGAGAAGGCGGGATGTGCGGGGCTGTATTTTTCCTCTAAGTCAATGCTTCCTCTAAGCTGTGGAGTCTTGTGTGCAAAAATGTGAGCTACTGGCATTAAAGTTGTGAGTAAGAGATTTGGCTACTGCATAAATTAGTTTGCTCTGTAGCCCTCCTTCCTGAGCGAAGACAAAAATGTGTGAGCAGGAGGCTAAAAGGCTGTGACCTAGCTCACACTAACTCAGCTTAGAGGGTACACTGCTCTGTGTTTTTAATGTGGGTATCAATGAGTGGCCACAGTGGCTCAGAGGTTAAGACCCCGAGCTGCAGACCGGAAGGTTTGTAGTTCGGCAGTTCGAGACCCTAGTGCGGCATGACGGAGTGAGCTCCCGTCTCTGGCCCCAGCTCCTGCCAGCCTAGCAGTTCGAAAGCAAGAAATTGCAAGTAGATAAATAGGTACCACTTCGTTGGGAAGGTAACAGCATTCCGTGCACCTCGGCGTTTAGTCATGCCGGCCACATGACCATGGAGAAGTCTTCAGACTGCGCTGGCTCTTCAGCTTGGAAACGGAGATTGCCCCCTAGAGTCGGATTCGACTAGCTTTCAAGCAAGGGAAACCTTTACCTTTACTTATCAATGAGTAAACTACTTTGAGTCCACAGTGGGAGCATGATGTGGTGGTTAAGATCAGCAGACTCCAGTATGGAGAGCCAGGTCTGATTCCCCACTCCTCCTCTCCGTGAAGCCCGGTGGGTGACCTTGGGCCAGTCACCGTTCTCCCAGAACTCTCCTCAGCCCCACCTGCCTCACAGGGTGCCTGTTAAGGGGAAGGGAAGGGGATTGCCAGCTGCTTGGAGACTCCTTAAGGGAAAGAAGAGTGGAGTATAGAAACCAGCTCTTCTTCTACTTTGCGTCCATGCAGGCCACACAGTATTAGCCAGAAACAATGAGGATAGAGTTAAGCCCATCATCACTGCCCCAAATCATACCTCTAAGTTGCCCTGACCAATTGTAGCGTGGGGTTCCCAGGAAACTCCCTCGTCTAAAATCCCTGTGAGCTTAAGGCAGCAGCAGACCCGCTCCCCTCTGATGCCTCACCCAGTTGCCCTTTGCAGGTGACCCCGGATTCAGAGAATGATTTTGGGAACTACAACTGCACAGCGGTCAACCGGATCGGCCAGGAGTCCTCAGAATTCATTCTTGTTCAAGCAGGTGAGTTACCCAGGTGGCTTCAAGAGACTACAAATGTTCACGTGTTTTAAATAAAAGTCACTGCTCTGGTTAGTGGCTCTCCCTTGATTTGGGTCGCACAGATTTCTGTATTTCCCTGGTAAATCACTCAGAATTCCCAAAGACCCTACCCTGGGTGCTTTGGAAGCTCTCTGCAGCTTTCCCGTCGCAGCTTAACTGATCAAAAAATGTCCCGTAGTCCTGAATGGTTAATGTGCCCACCTGCTCTTGAATTGGGATTAGAAATCTCCTTGTTGTGTTGTAGAGGCTTGAAAGTGAATCTGCCCGTCTGAGTTTCCTGCAGGGAGTGAGCCAAGAAGAATGTGCATGGCCAGGGGTGCCTCTTTGGAGAGCCAGAAACAAAGGCATCCGCGTCTGACTCCTTAGAAACGCGCATGTCTGTCGCAGCACAAACTTCTGTGCCCTTGGGCTCAATTGGTCAGATGCAGGAAGGGAGATCTCAGCCAGGGACATTCTTATAGCCAGAGGGAGGAAAGAAAGGAACATGTGAACCATCGGGTAAAAGGCCTGGTTTGTGACATTTCTCTGCAAAACACAGAAGTATCCTAATAAGGTTGGTGCTCGTTCACGTAAGTTATAATTGGTAATACCACAGACTGCTTAGCAATGTAGAGCAATTTAATGCTAAGCTCTTGGTTAATATGATCAGACGTGTCCAGGAATGCTAATTCAGCCATTTCCTTTGTCAGGGAATGCGGACATTCAGGCCAGCAACCGAGCATCCTGGAAACTTGTCAAGTTCTCCCACCAGTTTTTCAATGTAGCTGTCCTTTCTGTCAAACAGCGGCACCAGTCACACACACACACAAAAAAAAACCCAGTGTGGCCATCTCTGTGGAATTTGTATTTTTGGAGAGGATGATGTGCCACCTGGCTCCATGTCGCAGGGGAGACTTTGCTTCTCTGGAGCCATGGCCCTTGCAAAGAGACTTTGCTTCTCTGGAGCCATGGCCCAAAGCCAAGCAGAACCATGGAGGAGGCTGTGGCTATGGAGAAAAGGCTGCACCAGAAAGAAACGCAACATCATGTGAAGGTCTTGGCCTCTACGCCCAGTTGTTGGCCTTCTAGAGGAACTGGTTGGCCACTGTGTGAGACAAGATGCTGGACTAGATGGACCCTCACTGGTCTGATCCAGCAGGGCTCTTCATATGTTCTTATGGAGGCCTTGGCCTCTATGTCCTGTTGTCAGCCCTCCGGAGGAAATGGTTGGCTGCCGTGCAAGACAGGATGCTGGACTAGATGGACCCTCACTGGTCTGATCCAGCAGGACACACTTGATTTCTTAAAGGGTTCCAGTGTGCAGGTGACTTTATCCACAGAATGTGCTGAGATGAGGCACTGTGTTCGACAGCCGGGACCCGCTGAAAGGCAGGTCCCTGAATGGCTTCCCCAAATAACCACACTCAACCTGGAAGTTCCTCAGGTGGGATGGTTACGCCACACGGCCTGCTAAGACCAATCTGTCATATGGCCAATAATGAGGCAGGATAAACATAGGTCTCTCACCCATCCCTCACATGGCCACCTCTTCCGAAGTCAGTGCTCTTTTGGAAGGACATGAGCTCCCACAGCTCTGCTTTACTGTGGCTTCCCCTACAAGTGTCTCTCACCTCCACACAAGGAAGTTATGGAGCTTCCGAGCCGTCATCCTGCATCACTGATTCCCCCCCCCCGCTTTTTCTGTCTGCCTCAGATACGCCATCCGCGCCTTCCATCGACAGAGTGGAGCCCTACTCCAGCACAGCTCAGGTTGAGTTTGATGAACCAGAGGCCACGGGTGGGGTGCCCATTCTCCGGTACCGGGCGGAGTGGAGAGCCCTGGGGGAAGAAGACTGGCACGGCAAGATGTACGACGCCAAGGAAGGTAGGGAGCGGAGAACCAGGCATTGCTTGGGGGACGAAGTGTGAAGACGTTGTCAGCTCTGGAGTGAGGGTGGGGATTTGCGTTCAGAAATGTTTTCCTCAATGGCTAATGACAACTTTTGGTTTCTAACCCCATCTGTTGGAAGGGCCAGTAAGGGAGGGCAGGACTACATGGCAGGATATTCCCAACCCAAAAATATACCTGGAATTCACGACTTTGAGGTGGGATATCCCAAATTACTCAAAACACTCCTGAAATTCTGGGAGTAATGAAAATGTATCACCCAGATGTTTGGGAGTGTTTTGGGGTTCCAGGAGGCCAGGAATGGAGGGGGAGTGAGGATAAGCTGCCCCCATAAACATCTGTCAGTGGGGCATCTCTTTTTCCTTTAAATTTGAAAATGCCACTATATTGTATGGGAAGATCTGGCCTTTGGAGTGCTGGAGACCAGGTCAACTCCCCATATCAGCATGTTGAACTGGGCCCAGAAGCAAATTGGGAGCCAGTGTAGGCGAAATAAGACTGGAGTGATATATGGTCCCTACGACCCTCTTCAGTTAGAATTCTTTCTGCAGCATTTTATACCAATTGTAGCTACTGGACACTCTTCAAGGGCAGCCCCATGCAGAGCACCTTGCAGTAGCCTACTCCAGGCATATAGCTATGGCCCCGGTCACACAGGCCGGATAACGCGGGGGGGGGAGGCTATTTGCGGCGACGCGATTTAATGCGTCATAATGCGATCCCATACGTCGGCGGCATGCAGTGGTACCTTCCCTCCGTGTCAACAAGGGGCCGGAGGGAAAAGCGGCACGCCGGCGCGATCACACTGATGCATTCTGTGGCAACCCATGGCAAACCGGTTGCTACTACCTTTGACCAGGTATTTTTTAACACCGCATTTTTGGCGGTTGGCCACGGGTGCGCCCCACTTGCCAGATGTTGCTGTGTGATCGCGGCCGGAAACTCCGCCATTTGATCGTGGCTCTCCCGCAGCAAATTCGCTGTGTGAACGGGGCCACTGTATAAGTGCCAGCCTATTCATAGGTTACTGTTAGATCATTCAGGGTACAAGTCTTTGTACCAGCAGGACTGGGAAATGAAGCTTTCCACTCTGTTGTTTTGAGAGCAGCATAGTGGGACTGCCAGCAGGACTTGGAAATGAAGCTTTCACTGTTGTTTTGAGAGCAGCATAGTGGGACCCCCAGCAACCCCCCTCGGCCCGTGCTCCTAGTTCCATTCCTGTGTATACCTATAAACCATGTCGGTGAGCATAGAATGAAGTGTTTCTGATGACAGATTCACTGTTCCTACTCTGTGTCCTTCCTTTCTGGAACAGCCAACATGGAAGGCGTGATCACTGTCTTGGGCCTGAAGCCGGAGACCACCTACGCCATCCGACTGTCTGCTGTTAACGGCAAAGGCATGGGTGAGATCAGCGCCGTCTCAGAATTCAAGACACAACCAGTTCGTAAGTAAAAAAGCTGCTTGCCCATCTCTGCCTTCCTTTTTTCCCCTTTCCCTGCCTCTCCACAGCATCCCTGCCATGCAAGGATGGAGCCTGTTCCGCTCGAAGGTTGCACTATGTGCCCTTTTGAAAACGTCTCTCCCGCCTTCTTTCCTCTTGCTGGGCCATAACAGTCACCCAGCTGTTCCAAGGGCCATTTTTCCTCTCTGCCTCTCCCGCTGGCCGCCAGTTACAGAAGCAAAAGTCCTGCAATCTCCTGGCTTTCGCTGCCTTTGAAAAAGCAGTCCCTGTGTCTCTGTTGAGTCCAAGTGATATGGGCCTCCTTGTGAGTTGGTGGGTGGGGGTAACCATGTGTGGCAGAGGCACGGCTATGGCTCTAATGGGGGGCAGGGGTAAGATTGCCAGCAGACAAAGGAAGCAGAGGGACAGCCTGGCTTCCTCTGTGCGAAATGCGGGCTCAAACACTGAGTTTCTTCAGTACTTACACTCAGGCACGGACCTGATTTCGGTGTCGCAAGGCTTTCACATCGCCTGGACAATCCAACCTGACCATTCCCCTTCAAAGTCAGTTTCCCCCATGTGCAAATAAAGACGTTAGAATTGTCCCTGTGAATGTTGCTGGACTGGGCAAGAGGACTTTATCTACACTGGCGGGAAAATGGCAAGTTGTCCCAACCAACCTCCCATTGCAGTGTGTCTGCTGCCCAGGAGGAATGTGGCAGGGGGCTTGAGCTCTATGACGGCTCCCGCTTAAGTGTTCCTGATATTGTTTGTGGGCTGCCAGCCTCTCTCCATCGATGGGCGAAGCACGGAGTAAAAAATTGGGAGCAGGTCTCAATGGGGATTTTGATACCTTCCTGCCTCCCAAGGAAGTGTAGACGGGGCATGCTTCTCTCATGCCTGGAGTGTTTTATCCTCCACCTTCTTTCCTCACATGGGGAGTGGTGAAGACTTGTCGCTAGTCCTGCTTGGTTTATAACTTCTTGGTAGATTCGAGTCCAGTAGCACCTTAGAAACCAATAAGATTTCTGGGGCAGAAGCTTTCAAGAGTCAGAGCTCCTTCCACCGAATACGATCAGGAATGGAGGTCCCCAGTCTGAAGGTGGGATCTCCATACCTACTTGTATCTGATGAAGGGAGTGTTGACTCTCAAGAGCCTATACTCCCAGAATCTTGTTGGTCTCTAGGGTGGTGCTGGACTTGAATCTAGCTTTCTCTGGCAGACCAACGTAGCTACCCTCTGAAATTACCTTTCTGGTAGAAATCAAACGATGTGCAATTATATGTGACTGTGTTGCATCCAAAGTGAGGAAAGTCAGTCTTGATTTTGCGCCCGGCTGTCCTGAATCTTTCCCAGCTTGCCCTGGGCCTTTGCCACCCTCCTCGTGTTTGTCTGGTCTTCCTTCTGCCCCGTTTTGATTACATTGACCTGGTATTTTCTCTGCGTAGTATTTTGTGCCTGGAAAAAAGCAAGCAGAAAGCCTTGCCTCTTCTCCTGATCTGTTCAGTGCAGCGGCATTCTCTCTGTACTTGGGGCATTTCAGCATAAGTAAGAGGGTGCCGCTGTTCGTTCCCCACCCTCCCAAGTTTCCCTCAGCATAAATTGGGTGGCTTATGATTGCAACGCAACTAGCTTTGGTGTTCCTTTTCAGTGCTCCAATAAGACACTGTCACTAGTGCCTACCCTGCTCTGGAAAGTCTGGAAATCAGATCTTGCTACCTGCCTCCCTGGAAAGTCTGGCCGAGTGTGACACTCACTCGCTTGCTTGCTTGTTTTAAATTTCCAGCGCCTTGTTCTATCGCCTCTTTTTTTCATCTCTGTTACATCTTTTCTTTTTTTGGGGTGTGTGTCTGTGTCTTTTCTTTTCATCCATGTTCCAACCATGGGGAACCGCAGGCACTCCGCCACCACGTAAGTGCTTCTGAATTTCTTTTCCTTGGAGTGCTTTCCCCCCTAACATTGAAGGTAGATCTAGACCTTTGTTTAACTTAGTTTATCTCTGGTTTGTTTGGTTTTTTTTTTTCTTTCTGTCCTACTTTCCTTCTTGTTCTCAGGGGGAAAGGAGTAGCTGGTAAACTCGTGCATCTCCTAATAATACTGACTCTAGAGTAGCTGTTCTGTTTCCCAGTTAACATTGTTGTTTGTAGAACTTGTCTGAGAGGCTGATGCCTCCTTCTTCCGCACTTCCAAAGCATGCAGTCTTGTTTGTTTCTGCATGGATGCCTAATTCACTTGCAGTGACCTCCCAGTGGCAGGGGCAGCAGCTTTTGGCCCACGGGCTGCCTTGAGCCGTCCAAGGCTTTTCACTGGCCCAGTCCCACTCCGCGTCCCAGTAGTGGATTCAGATGTCCCATAAGAACAGAAGAAGAGCCCCGCTGGATCAGAACAATGGCTGTCTAGCCCAGCATCCCATCTCACATAGTGGCCAAGCCAGTTCCTCTGGATGGCCAAGAACAGGGCATAAAGGCCGAGGCCCTCCCCTGAGAAGAACATCAGAAGAGCCCTGCTGGATCAGACCAGTGAGGGTCCATCTAATCCAGCATCCTGTCTCACACAGTGGCCAGCCAGTTCCTCTGGATGGCCAGCAACATGGCACAGAGGCCGAGGCCTTCCCCTGACAAGAATACCTCAGAAGAGCCCTGCTGGATCAGACCAATGGTCCATCTAGTCCAGCATCCTGTCTCACACAGTGGCCAGCCAGTTCCTCTGGATGGCCAGCAACAGGGTACAGCAACAAGGCCTTCCCCTAACAAGAACCACCGAAGAGCCCTGCTGGATCAGTCCAGGAGTCCGTCTAGTCCAGCATCCTGTCTCAAACAGTGGTGAACCAATTCCTCTGGAGTTCCAACAAACAGGAAATAGAGGCCTCAGCCTTCCCCTGATGTTGCCTCCTGGCTCTGGGATTCAGAGGTTTACTGCCTCTAAATGTGAAGGTGCCCCTCAGTTGCCAGGGCCATTAGCCTTTGCCAAATTTATCCTCCATGAATCTATCTAATCTTCCCTTTTCGAGCTGTTTATTCCTGTGGCCGTCATGACATCCTCTGGCAAAAAAAATAATGCCACATTTTATCACTAATCCCAGAAGAAGAAAAGCCAGTTCTGAAAGAACCTAGACAGACACCATCCAGCCTAGTGGTGAGAGGTACCTCTCATCGCCACCTCCTGTTTTATAGTGAAAAGGCTCTTTCTGTTGTCAATACAGAAGAAAATAACAGCACTTAAGCAGGTGTGAGTAAAGTGGGGGAAAGACATTTTTAAATTTTCTTTTTAATTCTATCTTAGACCCTGGCATAAACATTGAAATGAAAAGTGGGAAGAAACAGCCCACTAAATGAAAATCGCTTGTTGCTTTTCACACCATTGTTCAATTTAGTATTAAAGGAGTTTTGGGGTTTTTTTGCTTCCAAATTTCAAAATAGGGAGGGAGGAAGGAAGGAAGGAAGACTTGGGAACCGTTTCTTATCGGGGTACAGTCAGGTTTTATATCGAGCTGTCCGTCAGGCTAAGTTCCATGGAAGTCCAGATCCACTACATGCAACTCACACTCAGGGCTTTTGGAAACCGGGTCACCTCCAAGGGCTGCTCCTGTCCCTCAAACTGTAACTCCCCCCCCCCAGTGCCAAACTACCATGACAAAACTCTGGCCAGTCTAGGACTTTCATGAGGCTGCCAGTCTATGGAAGAGTCACAGGCACACTCAGTGAAAGATGGCCCTGAGAAAACTGGCCAGTCTACATTTTCCACGAGGCTACCGCTCTATGGTAAAATCTTCAGGCATTGCACCACATTCCTGCAGCGACGCTGTAACTTCAAGTTGGTGCCCTTGGTAGCTGGTAAGGCCAGGCGCAGAGCAAAGCTTTTGGAAAACAGCAAGGATCAAGCAGCTGTTTGACCTGAGCATACTGTTACCGGTGAAAGTGCCCTTTGACCATCATGGCTAAGTGCCCATTGGGCCTCCTTTGGGAAGATACAAAGATTCTAATAAATGCATGGCTTTCATTTTCAGTGGCCAATTTATGTGGCCTGAGTTTCAGTGGATCCTCTGCACCAGGGGTCATTTTGTAGAGCTCATTAGCATAACTCATTAGCATAACTTATTTGCATGTGCCACACCCCCTGACATCACCAGAAGTGTGTCAGAAGGCAATACCCACCACTCAGGCTCCACTGGACTGTTTTGGATTGCTAGCTATTGGGGGGGGGGATGTGCAGATCTGTCCTCACAGAGGAGGGAGAGCTTGTACCTGAATTAAAACTTGGTCTTAAAGGTGCCGCTGGGCTGTTTTGGACTGGGAGCCCCGGGGGGGGGGGGCTCTGCAACTTACCTGGCTGCTTCTTGCTCTGACTGAGGGCTGCTGGGAGCAGGGGGTGGAGCTTGTTGCATGTGCCCGCCTCCTGGGCTCTTTACTGCCGGAGCTCCGCTCCCGTGCGCTCCTGCAGGAAATGACCCCTGCTCTGCATCGTCATTTGGGCATATAAACTACACACCCACACACACACACCTATTAATGAGGCTATAGGGGAACTCACTGGAGGCTTTTTAAGCTAGCCGGCTGCTGGAGGGTCATTTGCCCAACAAAGTGGCCGTCCAACGCAGCCAAGTCTGAAAATTGTGAATTAATAGCAACCCATTTTCAGCTGACTGGGCATTACGCGCAACTTAAAGCTGGTCACTGCGAGTCAGCGCTGTCAATGTTGGAGATGGAGAAAGATGTTTCACAGAGGTCGCGTGCCCCTGGGGAGGGGTTTGGGAGAGAGTGAGGTGACTTCCACTGGGTCACAGAAGCATGTGGCTCCAAATGCCTTTTCTGCTTCAAAATCTACTTAATCTGGAAGGAAACAGGAACGAGGTACCTGCTGTCAAAACATTGCCAGATGGGCCACGTGAAGCATTATGCTTCATTAAGAAGCTGCTGATTGCCGTTTGCACAGAGCTCGACAGAGGAAGGTTGGGAAGATGATGCCGGGAGGCATTTCGTCACTAAATCTTCTCCCCTCTCATCATTGAGCTGATAACCTTTTGCATTTAATTGCCTGAATGTCGCTTCTTAATTTTGATGAGTTGCTGGGGAGAATTCTTCTTCTTTTTTTGTTTTTAATGAGAGAAAGAAAATGGGTTTGAGCACCAGAGACCCCGAAATAGACACTGTTGCTTTGAAGCGACTGATTACAAATTATCTTCCCTTTGAAGCTCTGCTCTAGAGAAACATCAGTTGTAAATAGAAGCACAGTTTTTCTTTCTTTTAATTTTTTTTGAAAAGCATTCGTATCCCGCTGCACTGAAGTCAGCTAACAAAGCAACAGGTTACTACTTACATCCCACATTTCTGAGCATTGGAAGTGTTCTGCCCATGTGACCACAGTCACCCTGACCTGTTTGGCCCAGGCGAGTCCAGTCGCTTCAGATCTCAGAAGCTAAGCAGGGTCGGCCCTGGTTGGTACTTGGATGGGAGACCACCAAGGGAGTCCAGGGTTGCTCTGCAGAGGCCGGCCAAGGCAAACCATCCCTGTCCGTCCCTTGCCTTGAAAACCCCTTCAGGGGCCTCCCAAAGTCAGCTGCGACTGGACGGCGCTTTCCACCCCCTCAGTCATCATTATAATAGCCCTGGGCGTGGCCAAAGGGCGGGTTTCGAGGGACATGGCTGCCAGCTGTCGTATCTGAGTGGCGCTTCTATTTGCTCTTCCTGTCTGCAGGGCTAGGGTTGCCAGCCTCCAGGTGGGGCCTGGGGATCTCCCACTTTTATACCCGATTCCCAGCTGGCAGAGGTCAGCTCCCCTGGAGAGAAAATGGCTGCTTTGAAGGGTGCACTCTAGGGCATTGTACCGCGCTGAGGCCCCTCCCCTCCCCAAACCCCGCCCCTCCCGGCTCCACCCCCAAAGTCTCCAGGTATTTTCCAGCCCAGACCTGGCAACCCTACTGCAGGCGTAAAGTTTGGGTAAGCATAGGAGGGCTCTTGACCGTTGAGTCTTGACTCCTGACGGTCTTGTTACCCCGTGGCCTTGGATAGACTGGCCTGTCGGAGCCAGGATTCGCCGAAGATAGAACTCATTCCTTTTTGTTTGTTTTATTCCAGTTGTACTTTTCCTGTTGTGTTTCGGTTGTCATTTTATGCTGTCGTTAGCCACTTTGGACCCTATTGGGGAAAAAAGGGAGGTGGGTTAGGTGTTCTTAAAAAAAATACTAATTAAGCAGCCCTGTGAGGTAGGTCAGCTTTCTGAACGCAGGAACATCAACACCATCTGAATCAGACCAGACGCCCATCAAATCCAGCGACTGGTTTCCCACAGTGGCCAGCCAGATGCCCCAGAAGGCCTAGCAGTAGAGGCCAGAGGCCACAGCCAGCTCCTGGTTCTGCCTCTTCCCCTGAAAATGGTATTCAGAGGCTAATGACTTCAGAACATAGAGGCTTTATTTAGCCATCATGACTCATAGTCATTGCAGGGTAACCCTATCCTGTCAGACCTCAGAAGCTAAGCAGGGTCGGCCCTGGTGAGTACTTGGAGGGGAGACCCCCAAGGGAGTCCAGGGTTGCTGTGCAGAGGCAGGCCATGGCAGACCGCCACTGTTATTCTCTTGCCTTGATCTGCATGACCCAGGGTCACCTGATCTCCTGAGATCTCAGAAGCTAAGCAGGGCCGGCCCTGGTTAGTACTTGGATGGGAGACCACCAAGAGAGTCCAGGGTTGCTATGCAGAGGCAGGCCATGGCAGACCGCCACTGTTATTCCCATGGCAAGCCACCTCTGTTACCTCTGTTTGTCTCTTGCCTTGACCGGGATGGCCCAGGGTCGCCTGATCTCATGAGATCTCAGAAGCTAAGCAGGGCCGGCCCTGGTTAGTACTTGGATGGGAGACCACCAAGAGAGTCCAGGGTTGCTATGCAGAGGCAGGCCATGGCAAACCACCTCTGTTATTCTCTTGCCTTGATCTGCATGACCCAGGGTCGCCTGATCTCATGAGATCTCAGAAGCTAAGCAGGGTCGGCCCTGGTGAGTCCTTGGATGGGAGACGGCCAAGGGTTGCTGTGTAGAGGAAGATGATGGCAGACCACCTCTGTTCGTCTCTTACCTTAAAATCTCTGTGGGGTCACCATAAATCGGCTGTGACTTGATGCCACTTTCCACCACCAGCACCATCGTCACCGACAGATCTGTCCTTCATCAATGAATCCCCCCCCCCTTCGCATTTCAGAGCCATCCCATTTCAGAGCCATCAAAGCCTATTTGCCGTCTTATGGTAGTGAGACTTTGAGGGGTCAGTGATGCTCTCTTTGACAAAAATAGGCATCCGTTTGTTTGTCCTGAGCTAGCTGTCCAACTGACGGGAGCCAGTGATTTCCCTGAGGCAGCTTCTGTGCCTGAAAGGAGAATGGAGCCCGCAGGTGGACATGGCTCACAGCCCAGTCTCCTACCCAAACGCCAGTCCACTCCTTCCCTGTCAGGATATACAGGTGTAAGCAAGCCCATGTGGGGACTTCCCATGGTGCTGCTGTTCTTCTTCACAGTTAGCAGAGGCTACCTGGGTGGGAGCTTGCCCTGGCTTTGTTCTGTTCATCCCAGTAGGCACTTCTGGTGCCGGGATGCCTGAATATCTTGCAACCGAGTCCATAGTAAGAACATAAGAACAGGAGAGAAGCCAGTGTTGGATCAGGCCAATGGCCCACCCAGTCCAACACTCTGTGTCACACAGTGGCCAAAAATACCAGGGGCCATCAGGAGGTCCAGCAGTGGGGCCAAAACACTAGAAGCCCTCCCACTGTCGAGCCCCCCAAAGCACCAAGAATACAGAGCATCACTTGCCCCAGAGCGAGAGTTCCTACCTATACCTTGTGGCTAAGAGCCACTGATGGACCTCTGCTCCAGATGTTTATCTAATCCCCTCTTGAAGCCGTCCATGCTTGTACCCACCACCACCTCCTGTGGCAGTGAATTCCATGTGTGAATCACTCTTTGGGTGAAGAAGTGTAGCTCTTCCTCGCTTTGGTGCCGTCACTTTGCTTTTTGTGGGTTCATGACTTAAGTAAATGTGGGGTGGGTGGCCGTAGACTAGCCAGGGTTGCCTTTGGAAGGAGACTGGTGGGTCGTCTGCTTGCGTGCCCCTTTGAGTCAGCAGTGATCTCAGTTGGGTACTTTGGTTCCACACCCAACACCTGAGTCATTGTCAGCCCATGATGAACATGAGGACCTAAGAACAGAAGAGACACCAATGTTGGATCAGGCCAAAGGCCCATCCAGTCCAACACGCTGTCACACAGTGGCCAGAAATACCAGGTGCCATCAGGTGGTCCACCAGTGGGGCCAGGACACTAGAAGCCCTCCCACTGTTGACCCCCCCTCCCAAGCACCAAGAAGACAGAGCATCCCTTGCCCCAGAGCCCCTATCTATACCTTGTGGCTAATAGCCACTGATGGACTTCTGCTCCATATGCTTATCTAATTCCCTTTTGGAGCCGTCCATGCTTGTAGCCGCCACCACTTCCTGTGGCCGTGAATTCCACGTGTTAATCACTCTTTGGGTGAAGAAGGACTTCCTTTTATCCATTCTAACCCGACCGCTCAGCAATTTCATGGAGTGTCCACGAGTTCTTGTATTGTGAGAAAGGGAGAAAAGTACCTCTTTCTCTACCTGCTCTTTCCCAAGCATAATCTTATAAACCTCGATCATGTCACCCCTCAGTCGTCTTTTCTCCAAGCTAAAGAGCCATAAGCGCCTTAACTTTTCCTCATAGGGAAAGTGTTCCAACCCTTTTATCATTCGAGTTGCCCTTTTCTGCACTTTTTTGAAAGCTATAATATCCTTTTTAAGGTGTGGTAACCAGAACTGCACACAGTATTCCAAATGGAGCTGCATTCATCAAAAGAGAGCCGCTGTGTGTCTCCATCTTCCCCCCCTGGGGCAACCAAACCCCCCTTAGTGGCACAAAGACTTCCACCGTGGCCAGAAGTCTGCTGTCGATGCTCCATTAACATCTGTTGAATGTCTTCTGCCTCCTGTGGGTAAATTCTTCTGCAGCCACCGCTGGCGTGCTCATTCGGTTGCACCTCTCTGCTCTGCCTTTTTGTTTTCCTCCGTGATCTATCTTCACGCCAGGCTTCACCTTTGCGCGTCCTGTCTGTCCTTCATGTTTCCATAGCAACCCAGCATCCTACTGAATCCGAAAGCACAGAGGCATCCCGTGAGTAGCAGCAAGGTTGCCCCTCCCCCTCCCCTCCTGACGTGGCCCCGCCTTCCTCTTTCCCACCCTTCACCACCCCACCCCCAGCCTCAAACACACTGTTTCCCGTCTGTGTGTTATTGGGGACGATGTTCTGCGACCCTTGCTTTTAATGGGATGGTCGTTCTCTTGGTGCACTCTGGCATGAGTGGATGCAACATGGGAAAAAAGGCTTCTGTGCCTCTTCCCCACCCCTGCACGACTCCCGTCCTTTTCCTGAAATTGTGTTGCTAAGTGCCGATAACTCCGGGTTTTGCTGTGGAATTTTCTTAACCCGCTAGAAAATAACATCTAATGCCGAAATTTAAAGCACTCTTAGTGCCCCCCCCTCTAAGCCATACTCCTTTCTTTCATAAGTATCCAACTGATGTGATTCAGCTACTGCACAGATGGAAACTCAGGCGAGGTTTTAAAAGTGAGCAGAATAAACTTGAGAAACTTCAAAGTCCAAAGAGCTCCGAACCCCCGTAGGCTGGGCCTGCCTCTTAATGCCACTGACAGTGTCGAGTGGCAGGAATAAAGGGATCTGTGCTGTTTCAGGTGGGGTCCCTGCATGGAATCTGGTTCCCTCCAAGCAAAACTGTACAACTGTACAAAATTGTACAAGCAGAACTGTGCAGTGAAGAGGGAGAGTCAGGGCAAGGTGCTTTTTGCAGAACGTAGACCCTCTAAAGCAGGGGTGTCGAACTCATTTGCTATGAGGGCTGGATCACCTTGTTGGGCCGGGCCATGTGTGTCATAAATGTAATGCCAGGTAGCGGAGATATAAACTTTTTTATAAAGGACACAAACACAAAGATTTTTTTTTAACTTAGAATAAAAACATGCTTAAAACATTAGCTCTCTAAGCTGCAAACCTACTTTTGATTTATTGACATTCACCGCAGAAATCTCATGCTCAGAGTTCTGAGTCTAGGACCCCGGTTGAAACATGAAACGGCTGAGTGATTAAGAGGGTCTGGCGAAGCAAGCTATGATGTAGCAGCAGAACTGGAAGCAGGAGATGGCCGGCTCCACTGTGGGCCTGATAGAAGCCCTCCGGGGGCCTGATCTGGCCCCCGGGCCACATGTTTGACACCCCTGCTCTAAAGTCCCTGGCTTCAGAAGGCTTGTCCCCGAGAAGGCATCTTGAGGCTTGGGCAACTAATTGCATAACACTTCTCCGCTTGCTTTGAATTCATCTAATACGGAATATGCCTTTGCGGATGCTGTTATCCAACACGGGGCTCAGTGTGTTTGCAGTGTATCCGAGTGTCTGATTATTAGAATATTAAAAACCCACGTGGACCTTCTGGGGAAAGGGGGGGGGGGAGGTCTGTGTTAAAGCACGTTGCTGCCTCACCAGGGCTCTGTCAGCCTGCATATTGTTGTGTGAAATTGCTTGTTGTCTGCTAGAGATCAGAGGTAGTAATGGCAATGTCTGACTCCTCGGGCACACCATGCTCAGAATCCTAATTCCCGTGTCCTTTTGAAGCAGGCGGTGGTTCTGTGCTGCAGGAAAGGCCTCGCTGCATGCTTGCAGTTGGTTTCTTCCGTGCAGGGCAGATTCATTGCTCTTGGCTGTGCAGGTTTGCCCGTCCCTATCAGACACAGGCCTGTTCCAGTTCAACATTTGGCCTGCACCAGACCAGGCAATCAGATTCACCAGGGAATTCCTTCTCCATGTGGAAGCACACAGTGTGCGTTCCCGATCTTCAGCTCACTGATTTCCAGCGTTTTCCCTGGGACTTACGAGACCGTGTCCCTCACAAAGATTCCCTCATAATCTTTTCATGAGGCAAGATAAGAGCCCCGCACGCAACTCAGAACGGCTTAGGGTGTCTCAGAGCACATTTCAAAGTTTGCTGTTAAAGCCAGCAATGATAAATAAGAAGCCCCCGATCTTAGAAGGACAACAAGCCAGGCGGATGCTTGTTCCTCAGATTTACATTTGAACAAAGAGGATTTATAGTTGTTGTGTGTGTTTTTTTAATAAGGCCTGGAGATTTGGGCCTGGGCATTTCTCTGTCAGGAGGAAATTCCTTCATTTGATGGTTGGGTTATTATTTATTTATTTATTTGTCAAACTTATACCTCGCCCTCCCCGCAAGCGGGCTCAGGGCAGCTTACATCAAAGCATAAATACATTAAAATACACATTTAACCATACAATAAAACATTATAAATACAAAGTGCTGGCGGCTAATTAAATTAATCTAGGTGGAAAATTCCAGGAATAAATTCCCACTGCCTGGACGTTCATGATGTTTCTACTCATAGTCCGTTAGATGTTAAAAACCACGGGCCAAGCTCTGCTGTCATAGCTTGCAATAGGAGCCTGCAGTAACGTACAATAGCGTACAGTAGCGGCGGCCCCTACTTAAATGCCTGGCGGAAGAGCTCCGTCTTGCAGGCCCTGCGGAACTAGGGAACCGACACAAAGAAAGGAAGCCTAGCTCCCATATCGTGGCTCTCGTATCACCCCATCTTGAATATGTTTACTTAAAAATCCCATTATTTTCAGTGGCTCTTATTCGAAGGAGGTATTGTTTCTATTGTAATCCTGAGCAGGGTATACGAGTCAAGAGTTCAGGAGAGCTTTGGGGGTGAGGTGGGAGTAGGGGGAGGGGGAGGGGCACTCTGACAGAATCCCCCCCCCCAACAACAACCAGAAAGTAGCTGAGGGGTGTGAAAAGGTGAAGAGTGCTCCATTGCTAAGGGATTCCCCAGCAAAGAGCTGAGGAAGTGCCACGAAAACTCCCTTTCCGCCTCTTTCGAGGTGTCCTCGGATCACGCTGGACCGCGGCCGTTGTGATGACAAGTGCCGTTGTCAGGGCTGGCCTGAGACATCTCTGCATCTGAGATCTCAAATCCCCGTGCCCGGTGAGAAAACTATTTAGAGTCGCTTCAAATAGGGTGCCTCCTCAAACCGCCTCATGGTAGAGCCAGTCCAGATTGGGTGAGAAGGTGTCCCTGGTTGGAAGTAAGGAAGGAGGATCTAGGCCATTCTTTGGGGCCTCCCACCTCCTGGACTGGGTTTTTTTTAAGCAGGGTGATTATTATTTCACAGACATGGAAAACCACGGGAGGTATTACAGAGGCCGGTAGTGCCGAATGGACACGAGTGGGCCCACGGTGTTGCGTCATTCGAGAGGCCGACAAGTCATTCCTCCGCCTCCGCCTTCCGTTTTGCCTACTCGAGAGGGGCTCTTGTGTTGTGAAAGGTGCATTCAGATGGCCAGGGGTGGACGCTGTGCCCATTGGGGCACCCCACCCCGCCCTACCCTCACTTTCCTGATGCCAGCAAAATATAACCAAGAAACAGGCCCAGGTTGTGAGCAGGCAGGGAAGGACATTGGGGGGGGGGCAGCTGAATGGGGGGAGTGAATCAAGAAGCAAGTACTGGAGACGTGCAGGAGGGGAGGGGAGTCTCTCAGGTCAGCTTCTCCCCCTCCCCTTTTTATTGCTGCCCTAAACAGGGATGGGGGACGGCCTGGATATTTTAGAGCCAGTGCCGCCCTCTCAGACTTGTCCGTCGCCCACTCTTCCACTGATGCCTCAGCAGAGTTCCCCCCCCCCACCCCAAAACAGCTCCGGGGAAATTGTCGGCAGCTTTGGGTCCCTCAGGGGGCCTTCAGGACTAGGAGGAGCCTCATTTAACCACACGGGATTGATGCTCTTCTTTGTTACGGTGTGGTATTGGTTTTGTTTCCCACCCCGCAGTTTTGGGATGAGGTGGGACCGATAAATGAGCACCGAGCCGTACAGTGAGTGGCCACAAGCTGAGTTTGGCACAGGTCAAAGGTGAGGGTGCAGGAGCTCAGCTGACACGCGAGCCACACAGAAGCAGCTTCCCGCCCCATGAGCATGGTTGCCCTGGAGGTCTCCTGGAACTACCGCTGATCTCCACACAAGAAAGATCAGTTCCCCTGGAGAAAACGGCTGCTTTGGAGGGTGGCGTCTATGGCATGGCACCCCACTGAGGTCCCAAACCCCACCCTCCGCAGGGTCCAACTCCAAAATCTCCAGGAATTTGCCAACCTGGAGTTGGCACCCCCGCCCCCCAAAGGCCTCGGAAGTCTGTGGGTGGAAGAGGGGTACACGATAAAGTCCCCGAGTGTCCATGTGTGGCAGAGAATTCACAGAATCGCTTTGCCCTGAGCGACTCCGTCCCCTCCGAATCGGCCGTGACTCTGGTTGGACCACGTGACGCCCCCCCCCCCACTTCTTAAGCGCAAACTAATTCAGCTGTAACGCCTTTCTCTCCTGCCTAGGAAGCCGTGTGGGCGGGGTGTGCGTGTTTGTTTGCTTGCTTTCCTGTCCCTGTAGAAGGAAGGATCCATCAACAGGAAGCGGCGAGATCCATTTGCAGTCGATCCCGAGGGCGAGTGTTTTGGCAGCTCCCTTTCGGGTGGGCGAGCGGCATCTAAACAATGTCAGTTTCTTCTTTGTTTTGTTCCTCCCTGACAGGGTCCTGGACGCCCATCGGCTCTTCGGTTCCGGGAGTGCTCTTTCCTCTCGATAACGTTTTTTCTCTGTCTACGTCCCAGTATGAATTCCCGTGCCGACCCGCAGCCCTGCCTAACCACCGAGCCTCTTGCTGTGGTCACTAGTTGCCTCTTGTTTAATTATATTCTTGTGTTTGCAGGCTGATTTTTTTTTACTGTCTCCCCGCTTCTCCTGCCCCCCTCCCCCCCAATGTTTCTTCCAATACGGAGTGGCTAATTTGGTTTTGTTTAGACTTTAATTTTAATCTGTGAATGTTGTTGATTCGTTTGCCCTTGCCCATTGTTCACATCAGTTTTTTAATTTCTTTTGTATTTTCCATGTGACCTCCTCCACTTTCCTTTCAACCAATCATGTGCGTGCGTATCATGTGACCTTTGTCATGTGGCTTGCATGGGGCTGACGATGTCGTCCACGCTGGCGAACAGAAGGTAAAAAAAACAAACAAACCCACAACACGAAAACACAGGTTTGTTCTGATTGGTTGATGAGTTTTGTGCAGCGCGAGAGAGAAATCGAACAAACCCCCCAGACCGGCCACTCGTGTACACAAAACCTCTAAATTTTCATCGCCCAGAAATTTTCTTCTTTAATTTTTATTCCCCCCACCCCTTTTCAGCCTTTTGTTTAGTACATTCTCTCTGCATGCGATAACAATTAAAGCGGGGGGGGGGGGGGAAATGATTGCATCATTTGCTTCTCTTGATGTTGGGGGACTCCCAAGAGTTTTGCACGTCCCTCTCAGGTGCTTTCTGGGTGCACCCAAATGGAAAGTGTGAGTGTGACTAACACATACACATCACATAGGAGGACTAATTAGGGAGCCAGGATTTGTTCCAGCCCCTTGGTGAACATACACTTGGAGCCAACCTGCACTCATGTCAGTCAATCCTCGGATCAACCCCCAGTCTGGTTATTCGGCACGGCAGAAATTTTTTTTGGGGGGGTGAGAGGATCAATGCTCCCTCTAAGCTGTGGAGTCTTGTGAGCAAAAATTCTACTTTGTGAGCTGCTGGCATTAAAGTTGTGAGCGAGCGATTCGGCTACTGCATCAATTAGTTTGCTCTGGAACCATCCTTCCTGAGCGAAGGCAAAAATGTGTGAGCCGGAGGCTAAAAAACTGTGAGCTAGCTCACACTGACTCAGCTTAGAGGGAACAGTGGCTGAGACCCACGCTTGGCCCAGCAGGCAATTTGTAGTCCGTCAGCGAGAAGAAGCACGACTCCACCGTGGAATGGGCTGTGCTTAGTCTGGCCACTTTGCCAATTTGCCTCTCATACTCTCCCCTCTCCTCTCGTGCAAGGCACAATTGCCCTGTCTTGCCCCAGGGCTACATTCCAGGCAAGGCAGATGGATCCCAAGAGGGCAGAATCAAATATCATGCATGACGCAGGATGCTGCTGAAAGCAGCAGACCCGTGTCTTAGCCTTTGCCTTTCTCCTGAGAGGCGGCGGCAGGCATAGCTGTCGGATTCTTCTACCAGCAGCAGCCAGTCAATTGCAGTGGAAACGGCAGGCAAGTGGGCAAAGTATAATGCTGTCACGGCATGTAGAATGGACCTAAATATTACTGTGAGGCAGAAGAATTCCACACGGGGCTGTCATTTTGGCAGCAGCTTTCTCGGAGCAGAACACCCCGTTCTGATCACAGATCCAAGGGAGCCTCAGCTCCCTCCCCCTTTTTTTTTGCCTTACACACCATATCGTGATCCAGCTGTTCAGCATCCTTGTAGCATCACTCTAATTGATTTATATAGATAGGAACGGGGGAGCAGGATCCTGAGAAATGCGTTCATATTGGGGGGGGGGGATCACAAGAAGCCACAAAGGATGAGAGTTTTTTATTGATAGAAGCCAAGTTCCATACTGATGCAGAGAAACGTGTGTATCCCCTGGCAGAGCCAACCTCTTGCCTGCCGTGGAGTCTTATTCGTACCGTGAGGACAAAGTCTTGGCGGCTGAAGCTTCCCGGACTTGACTTGCTGCTTATCGCCACAGCATCTTTTGCAGCCAGAAAGAACCTGAATGGAAGTTGTATTCCCGTTGCCGCCACATCTGGTGGCTCCTCCAAAATCTGGAAGCAAACGATTTGCCCCTTGCCCTAAAAGGCAGTCAGTTTACTCTCCAGTTCAAAGCTTCGGGCAGCAAGGAATGGGTGGTCCCGGGAGCCTCTCCGGGGGTTGCACCGAAAGTTCACGTTCCATGCAAACAGCCAGGTTCGAGTAAAGGGGCGCCTTAGAGACCGACACAATTTTGGGGTATCCGCTTTTGAGAGTCAGTGCACCAGAGGGAGCTTGGATTCTCCGAAGCTCATACCCCCCCCCTCCCCAATTGTGCTGGTCTCTGTGTTGCTACTGGCCTCGGATCCAGCTGTTATGCTGCAGACGGACACGGCTTCCCTCTGAAACTATGGGTGATTTCCCACAAGCGCTGCTCCGCGCTCACTCCTCCCTTTTGCCCCGATGGTACGTGTCAATTTCACACAAGCTGCTGCGCGGCTACATTTTGCCCAGCAGCTTCGTGCGATTTTCCCTGCGTCGACTCAATCCTCAAAAAACAAGATTGAGTAGACGCGAGGAAAATTGCACGAATCTGTGGGGCAAAATGCGGATGCGCAGCAGCTTGTGTGAAAGTGACACGTACCATCGGGCCAAAGAGAAGAGTGAGTGCGGAGCAGCACTTGTGGGAAATCACCCTATATTCCAGTCGAAGTGTCCAAGGGAGCCCTGGCAGAAAGGCTGGCTGGACAAGTCTCCCCAAATCCGTCCACAGTTGTGCCCGCCTGGCACTCACCTCGGGAGCAGTCCTCATCTTTGCCGAGGGAAGCATTCAGGCAAGGGTTTGTCAGGAGACTAACAGGCATCGCCGTGGGCGTGGAGATGAGTCACTGACCGATTCTCCTTCTCGCAAAGGTTCAGGCGGCATCCCCATGGCACTAACATCCAGCACGTCCATCCGTGTTTTGTTCTGTCGCCCCAGTTCATTTCTTCGTGCATTACTAAGAACCCCCCACTCCCTTCTTCTCTCTCTTTTTTCTTTTAAAACAACACACCCTTTTTGGTTGTAAGTTGCGGCTTGGAATTGTGGCAAGTGGCATGCTTTTGCTCCTATTTACACAGAGGCCAAGGGAACAGCTTAGAGAGGCTGAACCATTGGAGGCGGGGGGGGGGAGGGGAGAAAACCAGCACTTTCTTCGGCCAAGACAGCCAGCAAATTAGGTTCTCCATGTCCTAGCCCCCTCCTCATTCTAAAATCTTAAATCTGGCTGGTTGCTTTTAAATACCTGTGTGTACTTAACAGTAACGTTTAATACCGATGAAACTCACGGAGACATTTCAGCGCAGCCAAATGGGGTGAAACTGACAGGGTGGGGTCAGGCTGGGCCTAGAGAACCCACACCTAGAGGGGATCTCCATCCCTGCTTGAAATAAAGGCAGGTAGTGATTTATCTATCCTGATGTG